TCTGGGTTCCCCCCTGAGGTCCAGGCAAGCCGCACTAAAATAAGCGGTGGCAGCTGTGGGGGGTAGAAGGGAGGGTAGGAGAGATGGCCGAAGTAATGTCATCATCAGATGGGAGTGCGGACTGGTTAAACTTGTCGACATTGTGTGCCGTCTTTACCCTAAATCTTCCAAGTACTTCCTGCCTGTTAAGTGGCTTGAGGTAGCGCCATGTTTGGCAGCTATCTTGCGGAACCAAGCGACACCTGTCAGTGTGAGCCTAGCAATTGGAGGGTTGGCCAAACTTCAACCAGTGTGCACGCAGTCAAACAGCACACAGCAGTGTATACAAATGCGATTCCACCGCACTGGAGGTCACGTCGACACACTGACACACACCCAGCATGCGTACAGCGAAAACGCTTCACTCCGTTAACAACTTAAGGTAAACAAAATTGTTGATAATTCCGCTTATTTGACTGGCTTACATTCGTCGGTGCGAGTTGGTAGGATGAAGTGATACTGCCTTAGGAGATAAGTAAAGTAGCTTAAAGGAGGTGGAAAGGAATGCGAGTGGAGCGGACGTCTGGAGTGGCCCCAACAGGCGGAGCAAAATTAAGTTACGAATTTATTGACGTAAAATATTTTCAAATAGTACAACAAAGTGAAAAGTAAGGTCAAATAAATTATGAAGCAAAAAAAGGGTGCGGTTGGGTGGAGTGGAGTGCCAAAGCTGAAAATTCACCTTCAAGACGCGACCCGCAATAAACAAAAATAAAGTGTCTACAACAAATGCCTTTATCACCTCATGTCACTAGTCTACTTGCCAACAAAGCATGTGAAAAGATCAAACATAAAGGCAATAAGAAGGTAGAGTAATCAGTTTTTCCCCATCACCTTGGATATCACGGGTTGAAGCAGGGGCGAGTTAAGGCGGCGGGCGCAGCGATGCGCATGTCGGACCACAAAATCGATAACTACGCGAGCAGGCGCGCATTCCCGAGTGCGCACGCTCACTTTGTATGCACGCGACTGACCAATCACAGTGCGGCATGCGGTGACACTGTCACGTAGACGATGCTTGCGCTGCTCGGTCTGGTTTCAGATCACACCTTTTGTCTAAGTGCCGGTTGCTCGCCCTTTCCCCTCCGCGTTTTGACACCTGACGATTCATGTAGGTTATACATAGCGCCTCCGAGTACCCAACAAAGTGGCGATAAGGTTGGGTGGTGATGGTGGTAACATACTACTTACTAACGAAGGAGGACCACTGGCAGGCCCCAAAGGCCACGTTGTGGAATGGAGGTGGAATGTCCACGACGCTAATTCCGAATTCTTTCGAAGGTTAGGGTGTCTTAGAGGCAGCACATCGTTGCGCTAGCGTCAGTTTTGCACACATTCGTTGCTAGAGCTGCGTGAACACGCAATGCCTTGCTTGGCATTGCCTGGGCAGGGCCTAAAGACGAAAATATGCGGTGTGGCTTACGATCGGCTTCACCGATTTCGGTCGTAAGCATTATTCCTCAATTTAGATAACTACAGGAAAGGAAACCACTTGAGATGTTCTGGGCGAGGAGGGTTGAATTACAATTTAATTGCATTCGCACAGGATGTGGAATGGTTCGCTCACTTGTGTGGATGACGGTGTCAAAGCAGGCCGATGAAATATTCGAGTCGAGGTGATGGAATACACCCGTCTATGGGGCGTTATTATTGGGATTAAAGGCCAGAAAGTGCTTTCTAGTATAACTCGTCTCGGAATTAACAATTTATCCACCCATCCATTCAGTATCAGCCACTCCATCCGATAGCCATCCTTCCATCCATCTGGTAGGTATTCATCTATATCCATCTATCCCTTATCCACCCATTGCCTTTTTATAGCTCTATTAATATACCTATCCACTAAGTATGCATCAATCAATTGCATCTTCTTCCACCTTACCCGAAGCATCCAGCATTCAGACAGACTTTGCTTTTCAGACTCCCGTACTTCAGTCAAGCACTGCAGACGCCTGCCTTCTACAGCAACCAACCGGTTTATGTAGGTGTAATGTCTTCTTTCAAGTGGTCCAGAAAGCTGCCAAGACCTACACGTAGCGGAAAGGTGTAAACCCGACTCTCTTCAAGCCAGCACCGATGGAGCGACCGTGTTGTTCCAACAAACGACGCAGAGTAGACAGTCTCGATAGCTTTTCTCCAGCCACTTCAAGGATGCTTTACATGGCTTGTTTGGAGATAATCTAGACAAACTAGAGATTCAAATCTGGCACCTGGGTTCCTCTCTGAGGTCTGGGGAAGTCCCGCAGGAATGAGGGATGACAGATATGACATTCAACCCGCATCAGTCCATACGTTCTACCACCCATCAGGCTGTATCCATCCCGCATACATTCATCCGTCCTGTATCCACTTGTACATCCCCTCCATTTGTTTACACAGCCTTCTAGGGAAGCCACACTGGAATGAGAGAAGGAGGGAGGGAGAGGGGAAGTAGTGTAGTCATTACGTGCCAACTGAACCGTTCAGCGTGGTTAAACGTGCCCCGCACCTCTCAAGTACTTCTTGCCTGTTAACCACCATGAAGTAACTTCATGTTTGACAGCTACCGTGGGGAATGAAGTGACATCCGCTAGTGTGAGCCGATCAGTCGGAGGGTTGACCAAACTCCAACCAGTGCGTACGCAGTCCAGCAACACGCGGCAGTGTATACACCTTCGCTTCCACCGCAGGGGAGGTCGCGTCGACACAAAATCGTGGGTAACTCTACATTTCACTGACTAGTTGACAGTCGGTGCGGGTTGGCAGCCCAGTCAGGAAGAAGTGATATCACCTTAGGGGATAAGTAAAGTGGCTTAAGGAAACTGGGAGGGAATGCAAATGGACAGGCCTCAACAAAGGGAGCGATGTCCCTCACAAAAAGGTCATAGTGCGGAAAACATGGACTCCATTCCAGATTCACTGTGGAACTTTGAGGTTGAGGTTGAACAATACATGGCAAATAAATACGTTCTCGTAGCACCCCTGAGTCCCTCCGGAAGTCGTGGCAAACCCTACCGGTATAGAAGATGGATTCCTCAACACACAGAACCAGGAAGCACAAACACCACCATCTAGAGAAGCAGTAGAGGGAATCAAGCGAATTTGCAGGAAGGAGAAACAATTATTCCGATAATTTGTCATAAGTTCGTAATGCATCAGACGGATCGAGGTGGGAGTAGACCAACTCCTTAGTTGAGTTCACGTCAAACCGGGACTATCGAGCTTGCCCATTCATTCAACAAATGAAACGAAATCCACTGCGTAGAAAGTGCATCCCTCTGTCAAGATGGTCTGCCAAATGCATTTGCGGTCCTACGCCTCACCGCCTAGTTAACACACATAGACCTTCGTCACGGAACGAACAAACCACCTCAACCCTGATTAGTCTGCCTCACGTCGCCTCGGTATTTAACCGCAGCTAGCCTCCTGAAGCTGCATCAATTCGTGCATGATCATTTCTCTCACAAAGAAGCTTATGTCCGAGCTTGCGGATTGCGTACTGGAGCTTGGATGCTCCCGAGCTTCTAGTCTAAGCTGTCAGAAGACAAAGGCTTCTTGATTTGCCTACCCGTGTACGCGTAAGCGTGGTACGCGGATTGTGGACAAGTGCTGGAGATGTGGAACGATTCCATTGCTACGTAGAGACAGCGCACCGGTTGGCCTTAGTGTCATATGATATTGGCTAATCAGGAGAGCTGAAGGAGAGCACGGACCCCTGGAGGTTTGAGAAGGCTTGAAAATCAGGAAATCCCGGAAAGACAAAAACATTTTCTGAGGTCACAGACATCCACAACACCCTGTTCCATAGAAGACGACACACCTCAGATGACCACAACAAACTTTTTTATCAAAACATGCCGACCCACACCTGCACACACCGCTAATATTTCCTGATGCCTTGATTAACAAAGTGCCGACTGGTCCGAGCATGAATTATGCACCGACTACCAGGGTGTAACAGGACAGACCTGTCACCACAGCAGAATGACACTTTGTTTGTGTAGCGGTCAACGCCCCAACAGTTAACAACACGTTCGAAAACGAAAAACAAAACTGACTTCATGAATAAATATAAATAAGCCAATCAAAAACAGTGAAAATCAGACAAGTTTTTTATTAAACTGGGACAGAAGAGCAGGATCCACATGTGATGTTGTGATGGCTGAGGTGTCACCGAGGAGGTATCGTAACGACGCTTTTAGCTGTTCGGGAGGAGCGACAGTAGGAGGAGCTACCCAGGCAGTCGCGTCAACTGCGGTAACAGGACAGTCGTCTAGTTCGTAGAGGACCTTTTGGTAGTGAAAAAGTCAAGGTAATACCGGCGAACGAGGGCAGGAATGAATAAAATTAACGAAAGGTTAACTAAATTAAGACAAAATTTAACAGAAATTCTTAAAAATCTCACTTTATTTTTAGACAAATCTGGGGTCATAAAACCAATCAACCCTGAATACGAGTGACAAAACCTCCTGCTGCAGAAAAAAAGCCTCCAAAATCGCACAAATGGACAAACCTGAACACAAAGGCTGATCACAGGTTCCAGGTATTCATCGTAAAGCCGATCGGAAGGCGTCAAATGACGCAGGCAATAGACCGAAGCAAGCGCGAAACAGCGCCGGTGGAGACGGCTGCTAAGTGCGTCTGCGCGATCCAATATACGCGTGAGAAGAGCATCCAGACAGCGCTGACAGCCACTTGTGTCTCCATTGACGAGACTGCTGTATCCAGTAGAAAGGTGAAGGCAATCTTGTGCGAAATCGTGAGGTGTCGACACACTTGTCTCAACAGTGGTCAGCAGGGCTAGCAAGAAGTTCCTACAACAAATACTTACTACTAACAACATTTAAGTAGTTTAACATTGAAACAGCAGCTCATGAAAAATGTAAAATCGTTTATTCATCTAAAACTTAAAGGATCTTTTTGAGGACACTAACAAAAAGACGGCGAAATGTGGGTTGGCAATATTAGATACCTTTACCAGATTTCCAACATGACTATATTGTTTTGGAGAAAAAATTACTTGTTGAGAATTGAAAAAAAATTGTAGAATAAAAGTACGCGTGTTACCTCCCTCATGTGACAATCTTTTCCCAACTCACCAGTGCTCAGGAGACGCTGCCAACTGTGCCAGCAGAAGCAGTCTGAGTTGATTGCTCTTGAACGCTGAATCGTTGTGAGCCTCCACAGGTGATTGAAGAAGAGAGATTCGAGTGTGGAGTATTAGCAAATAGCAGACACTCGGCGAGAAGGCAACATGGAATCGGATCAACTGACTGCTCCATGCTGTCAGCAGCTGCAACTGTTCCAGTCTGTTAAGTTGAAATTCCGGTATAAATATAACTACTCAAACCATTTAGGTAACAAAAGTTTATCGATTTACAAGAGGTCAAATTTTTCTTCGACTGGAACGTCAATGACAGAGTTGGCGAATTTCGCGGCCACAATGTCCGCTCGCATGGCGTTAGCAGTGATAGTTTCCCGCAGCAATGGTCGCCAGAAGGCCTCAGTCCAGGTAGAGAGAAATGCCGACGAGGCAGCGAGACGGAGGCAACCGGTGGCGATCCCGAAGAAGAGCTAAAATGAACAAGAGGTGGAAGGCATTCGAGAACGAGTTTCAGGATTGTGTCTCATGACCTCAGCTGCAGCCGACTCAGTGCCCGGAGTGCTTTGCATCCGTTTTTCATTTACTGGCTTTCCAATACAATCATGTAAAGGTTGTTTAAGGTGTCATCGTGTCATCAGAGGTTACCTAGATGCCACAAACAAATCAAATCTATGAACTCTAATTTAATTAGTGTTGAGATTTTGCCGCTTCAAGAGGTACACAATGATAACCGCACCTGAGCCTGATCAGCAGTCTCCAGCCTGGCATATAGCGTTTGTTCGCTATTCTCCGTTTCGCATCCATTCCCTCCACTACACTGGCTATCAATGAGCAGCGGCATCAGGGATTCCAGAGGTGGTAACCAGACAGCTCCGCTGCCAGTGACAAGGGAGTGCCAGAGACGAAGACAGGCATCACCCAACACCTCCACATCCCCAGCGTTGCCGCTGTCGCCGCCTCCATCGCATCCAAGTCGTATGAAACGCATGAGATCGGGCACCAACACAGAGGAGACTGTGAGGCAAGCTAACTGCTCCGCTGCCCACGCCACCGCCGCTGATGTGACGTCCGCATTCAGCGCTCGCATGACTGTGGCTACGAGGTCAACTAGACTAGCTCGCAGTGCCATAGTCCCTTCACCTGGCCGAAAAAAAGACAGTGGCTAATTTGTCGAGGTGTCGTGGAAGTAAATGAACGAGATTAGACCTTACCGATTTTCCAGAGTTGCTGAACTGCATTGATGAAGCAACCAAACTGCGTCTCCACATCTGCGTTCTCAAAGATGCTCTGCAGATACCGCAAAACCAAAAGCTGTGTTTCGACTTCTTCCACCTCCTGCAAAGACAAATAGTCTAGTAGCAAAGAATATTTTGGATCCTACAAGAAGAACGTAGACAATCGACCCACCTGAGCAAGATTAACTAGACAGTTGAGAATTTGTTGGAGCGTAGAGGCGGGCGCTTTGGAAAGGCTATCGGGAGGGAAGTGAGGGTTTTCAAGGAGCCAAGAGAGGCAATAAGCGGCGGCAAGGTGAATCGCGATCCGAAAGCTCTTTGGGCTGCACTGTGCACTGAGGTACTGGATCAACTGTAGTAGCGTTGCGATGCAATTTTGACGAATCACTTCCGACGAGCTGAAAAATACTTTCAGCTGCAGAATTCCAATGTTGATGAGGCACAAATTAGCTAACAAGTTTAAACTATATTTGTATCATTTTACTAACTCCTGCTTCAATTTTCTTAGTGTCTTCATTTTCATGGTTGATTCTCAAGCCATCTAGAGCGTCGCCCTCGCCCTTATTCTCTTCTGATTGGTTGATGTGTCAAGGTCAACGATGCCCCCCACAAGACCAGGGTCAATCAATGTTACAGGTAGGTGGCACTCTTTACTACCCATCCAACTACGACATGCGCACGCACCGCATCTCCTTTTATTTACAAGCTGTTAACCAAAGGCATCTGTATCAAAGTCATGTTCATTGCTTTATCTGGTTGGGAGCCCGACAGGAGGGCAAGTCACCCACATAAAAAGCAGTTCTGGCTAACGAACAAGCTGCACCTACCTATCAACCAGCTGTAGGGCAGAAATACGAAATTCCCGTTTCATAACAGTTTTGGAATCACTTACTTCGAGCCAATAAGTGCGCGATGAACCATCAGAGACATTCGTCGACCCGTCACTAGCGGTTCCACCAGTGACGTCGCTGTCATCGTTAGAAGAGCATCCACCCGTTCACACCATTGTCCCGGAGTGATTTCAAGTAAAAACTGTGCACATCTCAGCCCTACTTCCTTCATTTTGGCTTCGCCTGCCATCAACTCTTCAATCGCCGGAGGCAGGATAGCCTCCAAGTGTTCACTTAAATGCTTTGCAAGTAAACGGAAAGTGGACTCAGCCAGTTGACGTAAATTAGGAGGCACCTCAGCATTCACGGGAATGAAGTCAGCAATAGCGGAGACGGGTTCCAGATTCCAGAAAGACTCGGCAAAGAAAGCCGAGCCATCGCCTTCATCATCAACGCAGTGAGCCCCACCTCTGGAATAACTGGACTCTGGATCTGTGGAAAGTGCTTCAATTTCGGAAAGTAGAAGCGGCATCCATGAGCGCATAAGGCTCAAGAGAAGGCACACCGCGTTGTTATATTGAGGAACTTTGATGCTAGCGGATGACAACCAAGAAAGAACTTGCGATCGTGCTTCGGCCATGATGGATGGGAACTTCGCAAGTCGGTCATTCGGCACACTGTCGCGAAAGGTCGCAGAGATGAGGTTGAAAATGAGAGATAGGCACCAGAGAATCGTGTTTCGGTCTAACGAAGCATCTTCAACTACTGATACTATGGTTTCTAGTGTAGACACAGCACAAGAGCTGCGCAATTCTGATGGAATTAGGAATAATACCGCGTGGAGTAACTTCGCAAGGCGCTTGGGATTTTTACATTCGGAGGACAGTAGTCGTGCCATTGCGCGAGTGATCAGCCCTCCAACTACCGCTGCGTGCGTGGACATCATGTCAGCGGCTGCCGAGGCATCCAACACAGTGATACAAGTGTATATGGTGTGTAGAAGCTCTGGAGAATTAGACTCTATCCAAAGACCAACTAGCCGTGGAAGGAGAGTGCAAATGTGTGAAGCAAGAATTCGTCGACGCGGTGTGAGACGCAGGGCAGCCGCACGCTGTACACATCGTCGAAGCGGCGTCCATGCACCCAATTCGATGATTGCGTTCCAGAGTTCTTCGGGCCAGGTACCTTTGCTCCATTCGTGACGAAAAACACGACCGAAAATTTCTGAGACGAACGGACTCGGAGAAGAATTTTGACGAAGATATTGAAGGAGACAAGTGATGAGAAATTCCTGCTGGGCTCGATCAAAGTTGCACCACTGAGTGGAGTTGGAGATAAGATTTTTCAGATGGACAAGTCCGAAAATTTTAGCTGCTGCTGGAAGAGAAACGGTGGGAGAGAGTACGACGTTGGCAAGCTGAGAGAGGAAGAGAGGATCAGAGGTAGACATACTCTCGAGCTGAGTGCTTGCCAATTGCACTGCTTGAGGATCAGAACTGGAAGCTGCGATTAGTATAGGTGCAAGGTCCATGGGGCTAAACTAGAGCGTTGTTCGTAAAGGTTAGTATATCGAATACAAACAGAAAGTGGAAATAAAAATTCAAGATATTATGACTTGATTTCCGACTGGAAGAGCTCAGTGATGCCGACACATCTAATAGAAAGAACGAAAAATTTTTGGCACTTGAAGGATGGATAGGAACCAACCAAATAAGAGGAAAACTATCAGCATTCCAAGAGAAAGTCTATTAGAACCAAGATTTCTAAATTCCCGTCTGCATAAAAAGTTATTCGTATAATATTAAGATGACTTATAAGACTTCATTTCCCTACAGAAATAGCTGTAAATAAACTTAAAAACCTGACTGCGAAAAAGTTTAAGAATATTGCCGGCTTAACTTTATCCATTCAAAGATGCATATAACTCTGAATGAGAAGTAAATAAAAGATGAAACCCCAAATGTGGACACAAGACAAATAATCTTAATGTATGCGACCACAAATTGGTCCTCGAGTAAAGTAAGGGCGTAAAAATAGAAGTTCGAACATCACCCGTGTCAAGTTCCAGAACTTACGAAAAACGAGGAGACTACGGATACCGACCCGTTTACGCTCTCCTGGGACCACGCTGCAGGACGCGGTTCCTCGACGATAGATCTAAACAAATATTATCAGGTGACAGAACATATCCAAAACATTTAAGACATTTTTAGGCAACTTTACTAAGTATGCCACTTAAGTGTTTTTTAAGGCAAATACTTTGGCTTAAATTGTGCATACACATGTATTTTTAAGCGTATGATAATCAAATCTTTTAGACCATATTATGTAGTTGTTTACGGATAGCGTTCCGCATATTTTAACTTATTATAGCTAAATCACTTTGCAACACATGTTTTAAAACCCACGTTATTCTGTTTATTTAGCTCGATGTTTGTGCTTGTAAAGTAGATTCACCATCTGTTAAATAATTCATAGTTTTGAATGAATTGCCTTATCAATTTTTGTTAGATTTTTGGTTTTTTAAACCTTTATAAAAACAAAAAGAGTGCACTCTGTGACAATATATATATTTTCTACATACATTAAGCATTAGGTCTACTGGCATGACTCGGATGCCAGCCCACATGGAGAAGTTATGATGGCCATGACAAGATAGATTTTTACCAAAATCCACCGTTACGCAAACAGCCAACTTTTTAGGTAACTTTGTTTTTCCCTAAAGCCTCGTCTCTGGGTTCTTCCTTGGTTAACCACCCTCGTCAGGCATCACAGCGTAGTCAGTACTATTGGGTGGCCCCCACGAGACCTCAGTGCCAGTCAACAAATTTCTATGCAAGTAAAGAAATACTTGACTACAAAGTCTCTAATCCTTCTTGTCAACTCTGCTGGATCTGGAGTTTCGCCCTGTGTAGGCAATGTATTCGGGGATGGGAAATTGTGCTAGCCATCGTGTGTGCCCATCCCCAGGCGAAGGAGCATCAGATGGCATTTAAAACGGTTTCTTGGGGACAAGTCTCCTCTTTCATTCTTCCTTGTCACGTTGATTCTACTTTGGAGCTGCCTAGTCTTATCAATTCATGTTATAATTGCTTGTAGGAAAGTGGAGGTGGTATCGCGAGTTCACTTTATCTACAGCTTAATGCAGGTACAGAAGGGAACTTTAAGACTAAACTCTTTTTAATGGTTCACGACTGGCGTCGCATTTGTTGTTAATAAATTTCCTGAAAAACACAAGGCTGGTATATATGCCCTTCTTTTTAGAGTCGTCACCGAATCCCCCTTCCGTAGCGGATGCATTTTTTCCGCCCCACTATGGTTTATCATCTAGCAGTAGAAATGAGTAATGACAACTTTAATACAATACTCTAGTGGAAGGAAAGGTATTGGGCCTACTGGCATGGCCTGGAGGCCAGCCTGGCCGGCGAAATACAGTGGTCAAGGCGAGGTGGACCTTTACCTAAACAAACTGTTAAGCAACTAACTTATTACTCCTTTACTAAAGCCGATATTTAGAAATCATTGATTATTTATGCATCCTATCTTGGCAGCTTGGGGAGTTTAGAATCTGTATAAATGTCCTTCTTTAAAATATGGTGTTTGTTTACATCTTTTTATTTAGTGCTGAAGAATTACTCGTTTTTTATCCACCTGTCAGAACTCTATATGTTGGTGTTGACAGAAAAACGACGATTTCGAGGGACAAAAAATTGCCATGCAGACGTCATAAGTTTTCCTTAAAAAAGTTTTTCTTTTAAAAAAAAATTCAGCAAGCTTGTGATTTGTAAGCAGAACGCCAAGAAATAATCATATGCCTTTTGTACTAATAAAGTATCAGTAGTCATATTTTTTGGCTTCTCCAAAATGTAGTTCCTGATTGCGATATTCTCACCCAGTCTGCAGAGTTCTTTTGCTCATTCCCTAAATGTACTAAAAAAGTGAACCGACTTGTATTTATTTGCAACATTAAATATTCCTTTATGATCTTCAACTGCTCATCCACAATTTTTGTACTTCACTGTCCGCTGATGGGGCTGAGCTTTCGGGAAAAGGGTTTTATAATCCCCTTCATTAACAGTCGAGGGTTTCCTACTAGCAAAGTGGTTCGCAGAAGGTGAATTACTAGGGTTGAAGGGATTATAAGTTGAGAGTTTTAGGCAATGAAATTAGCCAGATCGAACGCTCATGGCTTAGCCAAGATTCATTAGACAATCAACTACCTTTCATTCATAAGATATCTTAGTTACAAATTGCCTTTTAAGTGAGATAAAAAATTTCGAATATTGCCTATTATTATTTCCATCTTATTGGCTATTCTCAGTACTATCTGATCAGGCGATTAGGACCGATGCAAATACGGTCACTTAGACTGGGAAAGGTAGCCTGATAGGCACGCGTGCATTATCCGTGTGTTTGACATTTCCTTCCACGTCTCGCACACGCACACGCACGAATTCCACCTGAGCAGGTGCTGGTGGTGTTCGTGTTACACACTATCGACTACCCCCCTCTCGCCTCTCCCCTCTTGCTGCCTTCTTCGCTTCCTTCTTCTCCTACTCCTCTTCCTTCGCCTCTTCTGCACCGCCTAGCGGGCTACGCCCAAAGCACACAGGCTTGAGCACGCGTGGCACACAACTGCTCAGAGGAAGGCTCTGATCACTTCGCCTCACTCCGCCTCGTGTCACCTCACCTCACCTCACCGCACCTCAATGGCGTCCAACTCAGAGAGCCATCGCAGAAAACAGATTCGACCCACAAGAGGTACGTCTGATTATCTCATTTTTTTGACTCTTCATGCTTTACTCCCCCAAAAATGCAATTTTTTAACAAAACGACGTAATACTTCAACATTGAGGCTTTTTCCCCTTTGCCCCTTTACCTCCACCTCCCTGCACCTCCATCCAATCTCCTTAAACTGGCCGGTAATCCGCCTGCTCACCAAATAGAAACTCTTTAACAGACTTTTTTTGAATAAACTAGCAAATTGCCCATTTTTTCCAACTCAGCCTCCTTTTATTTCATTCGTCGACACAAATTTCACCGAACAAGTTGCCAAACATGTCATTCATGCAATCAAGTGTCACCAGCTCCTTTTTATCTACAATTGCCTTGGCACCATGACAACTGTCACCCTTCTTACAAATCCATAAATCAATAATCGGGAGTAAAACTAGCCCAGATGCCCACTGTTGGGTGGAGGAATTGGGCTAGGGAGGCAAAAGCAGGCGGGAATTAGGTGAGGAAAATGAAAAGTAAGAGAGAGATAATAGGACGACGATGATCACACAGACCAGAAGCCTCTGCGACGGGGATTATGTTAATTTCTCGTGCAAGTACACCACTAATGGGGGGAATGTAGATTACTCCTTGACATGTACGCCTATCTGCGCAGCAGCAGTAGCAGCAGCACCAGCACCAGAAGCAGCAACGCCACTAATCGGATGCATGTCTTCTTTTTCGGTAAGTCATTATCCCCCTCCCCGTCCTTCCTTTTGTTTAGAAGATTCCCCAGTTTTTTTTATTTGGTATTCCCTAATCAAAAAGTACCTGGAACAAATACATTGAAATAAATATTATACTGTGAGGATAAAAATCCAAAAATCCAAAAAAAAAGTATTAGCAACTTTTTTAAACTTAAGCACGGGTGAGGAGGAAAGTAGTAACCTGAAAATTGGAGGCCTGCTTAAGTCAACTTTTGACCTCTCCCAATCAGGGACTTGACAGCCATCCCCTACTTCTCTAATCTAAACTGCTACGTAAATTTTAGGGTCTAATGGAAAAAATATAAAGGCTTGGTGCAAGTGTCATTTATTTTCCTTGACTTTCATTAAAAATAGTCAGAAAATTTATCGAAATCCGTTCATTAATAGCATTCTTCCTAAACTTGCCACAAAAGAGTAATTCATTAACCGTTACCCAAGATTAATTAGGCTACCTGACGAACTCTGTGTTAGGATGGGATTCTTCCATATTTAGCACTGATACTACGGACAGAAGTTAACCCATTCGCCCCTTGCGTCACATATATGTGACGTATGATTTATCAGTCCATAAAACTGTCTAAAACAGATAGCTTAAAAAGCAAGAAATAATGAAATTTTTAACTGAAAGCAATGCTTTATTTGCTAAAAATGGCCGATTTATCATGTTCGGGAGGGCAAACCTTGGCTTCTCCCACCAGTTGCTACCTCCTCCTCATTTACGAAGGCTGAGCAGGCGACTCAAACGATGACCTAGTTAACCACTCAGCCACTTACACCAGCCCCCGGTCTGTCCTCCTAGAGATTTACATTCTGGGAAAATATCACGGTTTTTCGGGGAAGAAGGGGGGCCGAGGACTGGCGACACAGGCAAGGAACCACACGTTTCAGGCTCAATTCTGGACATTGTGCAACACTAAACCCTCTTATTCCCCTCCTCTCTCTCTCTCCCTGTGTGCTCATTTTCAACTTGTCCCGCTTCCCCGGAGTCGAAAAATGCCCCTTAGGCCCGATACTTTTGCCCCAAGAGGTGAAAAGTAAATCGATGAGCGCAGACCAATCAGAGAGGAGGAAGGGCGTGTCCATCAGCGCCCATATGCCACCACAATCCTCGCGTTTGTTGCCGTGGTCTTACGTGGTCTTGGGGGACTGATAGGATCCGTCTTTCCGTGCTACCACGCGCACACACACACACACGCCAACTGCTCACCGCAAAGCCATCTGATAAGGGGAGAGCCCAGGTTCCAAGCTAAACGCTGCACAGATGGGCTGAGATCACTTATCCCATTCTCCACAAGACTTCCCCCTCCCCCGCCGCCTCACCCGTCTAGTGACATGTTGCTTTGATTTGGAGACAGGGCTCGCATTAGCACCAATTCACATCCAGTTGCCGTGGGACTTTACTCGCATGGCGTTGTTGTCAAAATACTGATAATTGCGTATAACAGGGGTGACAGCTATCATGAGAAGGCGTGGTTTTTTTGTAATAATTGAAGTAACTCGAAGTAAGGTGCCAACTGATTTCCATCCGAGCTCAGCATCTGACAGCTGCTTGCTGTCAGTCTCACAGAAAAGTCGATAAGGCTGTCATGCTAATTCAACAGGTAGTTTTACCTGTTGTCATTTCCTATTTCACGTCCTCGACTTACTATTCTACCATTTTGATTGTATTTTTGCAAATTATTTATTCAAACAACATGACTACTGATTGCACATGATTAAAAAGTATTTTCTTTCACATCGGGCCTTGTCAAACACCCATTTGGTCACTAGACACAACTTGACAACTCAGGTTTCTTTCTTTTCAATATTTTCTTTGCTTAGTTATGTATCTCTACCTAAGGGCTTGATTTTAACAGGGAATTGGCAAGTTGTTTATCAATGTCAAGCAGTGTCAGCTGAGCACCCCAATCACATGACCTATCCAAATAAATAAAAAAAATACTTTTAAATCAACCTGTCAAAGGCATGACAACATAATTTAACTTTTCTTTGGGGAAGAAATCGATATTTTACGGTCACTCCCCTCCCACTGCCCCGCGCGCAAGCCTCCGAGTGGCGCTCAGCTGTTTACTCGCCGGCCTGACAAGAAATCAATAAATCAATTTGATCGATTAAGCCATGTAATTCAATTTCGTTATGAGTCTTCGCGCAACCTTTTTTCTCAATTTTCCACTCAGATTTTTTTCCAGTTAAATTTTCATAAATTATTATGAAAAAGAATGCAAAAATCCCTTGGTAAAATTGTACTAATTCTAACAATTAGTTGATTAGATTACAAAAAGAAAATTAAGACAAGACGTATTTCAAAAAGTGGAAAATTATCCGACCCACCTTTTTGCATTTCCAAGCACACACCCGCACACAGGTTTGGGGAGGGAGGGAGGGTGAGGGGAGTACCAAATGGCCAAACCACACAGAGCCTTGGAGAAGGGGGGGGCGTTAGCGGAGTTAGGCTAATAAAAGTTAAGTTGATGAATGAGTTTTCGTGTCACACCTGCATGCATTGCGTGTACATCGAGTGTACTTCTCAAGCGCAGGTGTTTTTGCATGTCGTTGTCCACCGTGTCGCCTTTTGCAGCGGTGCGACAAGACAGAGAGCAACTGGGAGGCGGAGAGGGAGGCCCGGTAAGGCACCAGAAATATTAAGCCTATTCTCCACCCCCACTTAGACATAGCATAAAGGCTTAGCGTAAGCATTGTTGCGTGACTGACTTCCCCTTGTGTCAGAAAGCTCCTGCCAAATTTTACATCCAGTTTGGGGAGGAGGTGCGGGAGGGGGGGGGGAGAGGGAGGACAGAAGAAGACGACCCATGTGCTATTTGCGTGCAAGTGAGAGAATTGTGCCGAATAGCTTCTTTAAATTTGCAGAGTAGTAGAAAGAATTGTTTGGCGATTGAAGTGGGCGTTGACTTATGCCATGGTGGCATAAGGATTTGCGACACGTCTGATAACGACTCCAGAGGGAAAGCTCAAGTGTCGAAACTGTGACAATGCTAGGAGATATGCCTTAATGGGCCTGTAAAGAATATGCTGGTTTAAGCTGGCAGCAAAATAAAGATTCCAGTAGATACGGCTACAGTCAAAATAAATGCTTCTCTGACAGTGACGGTTAGGGTGGAGGTGAGAATGAGGTAGCATTTGCAACCGTTACTTCACGAAGGGTAATAGAGGTCTTTCCGCGGTCAAGATTTGCAGTGGTGTAAGGTACGAGGACTTGTGTTGCGTTCTTTCCATAAAATCACTACTTATGTCTCTTTCTCGAGGATGGAAAGAAGACAAACTTTTTCTTGCACACATTTGAGGAGGACAGATTAAAATCCAATAGAGAGATCCCAGGCTTGACTTTCAGAAAGTAAGCAAAAGAGAACACACACGGAGCGCAGTCATTCGGGGATGAGGTGGTGCGTCTGTGCTTTAAGACTGCAAAATGGGTAGTAGGCAATTAACTTTCTGACCTCCACACACCAAGCCATCTCCCATGGACATCTCTGAGCCTCTTTTCCACCATCATCAGCTATTTGGCTCTTCTACCTCCTTTATTGTAGTCTGCAGCTCAGCTTATTCCACTCTTAGTTGGCTGATTCATATCTCTTCTTTTTGTTGATCGTACACGGAATCGCGGATAATGGTTGAGCGAATTCGTGTATGCTATTTCGTTTTTAAAAGTTTGCTTTTTTTGAAAAACATGGGCAATTTAAACACAAAAGTCAAATTTTTTATAATCTTATCGCCTGTGATAAAAGAATTCTACTAAAAAGAAAAACCGTCACCGCCTCCATAAACTATTAGGCATGGACTATTAATTTCAGCTACCCTAAGGAACCAAGAAGAAAGGATGTTATTCCATCTAAAAATTGGTAAAAATTATCCAAACTTCATCTTTGTGAATTTTAAAACTCCCTTAGTCGCTTCTGGATTCCCTTCTTACTCCTCAACCAATCGCATTCCAGTGCGGTGTTGAGCACGAGTGCTCACACTGACCAATAGACACGCAGGAGGCGTGTGATTGGTAGATACTCCGCTTCATAAACTAATGCCTACGCTCCTTGGTCCACTTCTTGTAGCGAATAGTCTAATTGAAGTAATGTCCTCTTACCTCCTTACAGGCACGCACTTTGTGGAGTCCCAATTTTTGAACGCCTCGGAAGCGTACGGTGCCAACTGCGCCCTGTTCCACTCGCCACCGGTCGGCGTGAGTCCAAGTTTCTTTGTAGCAATGCCGTAATTTAAAGGAGTTTTAAAAATAGAATAAGCGACATGTTAAGTTTTAAAGCTTGCGCGACGCATCAGACCCAACGAGAGAGACTCTTCGTAAGTCTCTTAAGGTCATCTGCACTTGCCCTCTCAAATTGACCGTTTTAAGTGTCTCTCAAGCGCAAATGCAAAAAAAAACCTCTGGCGTTTAAATTTTTTTGCCTAAAAATTTAATTCAACAATACCATTCATCATGCGATGATGGAGTACACGTGTCACTTGCTTGCGACGGGCAAAAATCGAGTCAAATATTCTCGAGAAGCCATGCTTTCACCTTAGTAACGAAGAAGTCACAAATTATATGGCTTCATTTTTGAACGTCTCATTTAAAGCTTTCTCAGTTGATGAGACCTAACATTATTCAACAAAACAGGAGCTGTCGCCAGTTTATCCCACAATTTCCTTGACGAGGCTTGACGTCGAGATAATGTGACGCCATGTCAGCTTCTGAGTAGTGGATCTTTTACAGCCGTTCAAGGCCACCACCATACATGAGCTGTAAAGAACTCAGTAGAACCAATTGCACTACACAAGGTTTTTCTCTTAAAGACATATGCTAAACTCATTCTGTTAAAATTACTGGTAAATAGCGTGATTTGCTACAAGTTTTCAAGTTTCAAACGGCATTTCAAGTATATTTTACGCACAAATTCAAAAACCTTGATTCTTTGTTGATATTGTTAGCAAATCATCAATTCGACACCACCAATCACGTTTTTGGAGGGCTTTTTTACAAATAATCTCCCCCTGCCGCCACCACCACCCCCACCACCACCGCCGCCGCCAACGACTTTCGATTTGGTTCGCCTCTCCGATCATCTGATTTCCAAAATTATACATCGTCAATTTACTTCAAGTTTTGCTGAGGAGGGGATTCCAGGGCCTCCGCCTTCTGTAGAGGATTCAGAGATCTGGGATTTAAAAAAGAGGAATCGAGAGGATATCAAGGTGTGGCATGCTTTTATTTTTTAACTCTCATCGCTTACAATATTTATAAATTGAAAAATTGGTCTCCTTGCAATTGGATTTTAAGCTCCAGCCCTACGCATACAAAGATGGTGTCGAGCTCTTCAACTGTCCCCTTTGTTCCACTGCAAACATCACGACGAGAGCTGAACTCACCTCCCACCTGCAGCAGCACCAGAACAATCAACGTCGAGAGGATGGCAAGCACGTTTGTTGCTTCTGTGCAAGCGAGTTGAGCTCGAATAGCTCTTTGGAAAGGCATCTCCTGACTCATACAAGTATTCACTTTTCTTGTAAAATCACTTTTACTTATTTAACATAAGTAGGCGTAATCAAACGACTACTTTGCCCAGATCACAGACCTTTTGCATGCAGCCTGTGTGACAAGGCGTTCACCACAAATGGAAACTTGAGCCGACACCGACGAACTTCCCACCAGTTGAACAACTCTACGGCATCCATGGAGGTGGCATCCACTGTTTATGATGGCAAGATGAATAACAATCCACATGCTATCGAAAATCTCCTTGGAAAGGTAATAACAGTAAAAGTAATGCAGAGCGCTGAAATTTAAGGCGCTGCTAATTTTTTAAGATCTGGCGTATAACTTCTTTTTGGTTTTTAGAATCGTGCGCCAATTCCTTGCCTCAGAGAAATGTTGCATGCAATCAAAAGGAAGAACAAAGCATTTAAAGGCGCGTAGATTTGCCTTAATGTCTAATCAATAGTCAAGAAGTTGTTCTATTTACTAAAAAGTTTTTGTGCATTTGGAAAATGAAAAAATCAACTGACTGACAACTGCCAAGCGATTCAGATGGACAGGTGGGGGAATTATTTACCATGAGAAGTACTTGTTGATTTGGAGCCGCTGTACCTAGAAAATAAGGGACTTATTAAAAAGTTCTTAATTAATCCACTCTCTATCTAATTAAAGCTTGTAAAGTACACACTCACAAGTCCATCACCGAGTTCAAGTGTGTGGTCCACTGTAGACGCAGCTATTCACTGCGAAATGCAAATCTAACCCTAAATATTTTAACTACTTTGCAGAAATAAACATAAGTGGTAGGTATTTGGAGGAATGCTCGTAGTAGATGTTAACATCAATTCCCCTTAACATAAGCTTGGAAAGTCTGCTGAAACAAATATCAGTAGCAAGTGCACAATTTTTAAAAACATGATTCAGACAACTCCCGTAATAAGTAGAACTCGGGACTTTTACACGAATAATTTGTGTCTTTGCTTTCCAGATTTAGGCAAACACCTTTGGCAACCAGAGTCGAAATTGCGGGATCTTCTCATCAAGCGACGACGACGTTTTTTGCGTTACAAAAGGTGGGTTCATCCTAATAAAAGTGCTAAAGCTTTACATACGTCGCGAATAATTGAATTTTTTTTGCTAACTAAAAGAATGCTACGGAAACGAAGCTTAAATACCTCAGCAAAAGGGGATGAGGTGGAGGCTCTGGATTTGTCGATAAAACACGAGCAACTGCCTACATTGCCACCGCAGCCACCCCTAACCCCACCATTGCTTCCTCCTCCTCCTCCTCCTCCACTACCGCCAACGTCAGCACTACCACTACCAACACCGGAAGTTATGGCCCCTTCGTTGATAGGATTTGATGGAATCTCTTCACTCTTCCAACTCTTGATGATGAGAACGACTGCCTTCACAACCTGTCCTCCCCTTTCACCGACATTGCAACAACCACCACTGCCGCCACCGCCACCGACGCTGCCAAAAATTATGATTCCGCAGACGACAAATCGGAAAAAGAACTCCTACAAAGACGCGCCTAAATTGATCACATGTCCGGTGGATGGATGCAACCAAAAGTTTCCGTGGAACAGCTCTTTAAAACGCCACATCCTCACACACACGCGTGAGTCCTTTGAGAGCGTTATAAATATGGAATTTCTGACCTCTAATTAGTGGGAGTAATAGGCACAGAAGAGATACATCGATTGTGCTATTACTAAGAATGACCACTCTGACCCCTTCAGCCCACAAGCCCTTCACCTGCACGCGCTGCACCAAGTCCTTCTCCACCAAATCAAATCGCGAGCGCCACATGGAGCGCGTGCATCGAGTCAGCCTTAAGCGCCAGCGCACTACAGGTCTGGCATCTTCGACAATGCCGACAGTGGGGCCGGAGTCGGGGGTAGCGGTAGCAGTGGAGACAGGAGCCGAGGAGTACCTGCGTGACGAGGAGATTGCCTCGATGCGCGGTAACGATCGTCAGGCGGAGGACATCAGCAACAGCCTCCTTCGTTCCGCCGGTAGTCCTGTGGTGGAGCCAAATCCCGAACGCCTCGCCCTCCGCACGCGTCCGCCGCCTCCATCCCTACCTTCAACCCTATCAATGGGGGAAGGAGCAGACCAAAGTGAATGTGGAGTGGCAGCGATGATGTGTCCGGTGTGCGGACGGACATTCGGACTGGCGCAGAGCCTACGACGTCATCTTAAGACGCACTTGATAGCCTGACCTAATCCTAGTTTATTAAGTTGGTAATCCTATTTAATTTCCCATTTTCAAATCTATTTTACTGTGTCGTGTGCGCATGTTAATGCCGGTGGTGGTTATTATTGTGGTGATTTAATTTGTAAATAAATATTTTGAAAGGCGGCAACTCTGTTTTTTATTATGATGTTGTGAAACAATTAAGGTATGCTAATTTAATTTCAAACAGCAATAGACCAATAATATGCAATAGTCAAGTGCTTTGTTTAACTGAAGGCTTAAGTATGCGAGAAATCCAGAGTGTGCAGGTCCGCATTCCACAATTGGCATGACTTTCGGTGCGTGCTAATGGCGGCCCAGTTATTCTATCAGTTTGGTGACATCACGACTTTGTTGAGACTCGAGGTGCTAGATGGGACCAAAATAACTTAAAATTTAAGAACTGTTTTAAGGAGTTGCAAAAGTTGGGGCTTTATTCAAAGCATCTCAATGTAAGCTGTTCTATTGAAAAGGACTAGGGTGTAGCGTCCAGATACTTCCCTGAAAACAAAAATAAAACCTGATATTCGAGCATAATTGGCAAGTAAGAAGGTATTTGGGCTACTGGCATGGCCCAAAGGCCAACCTACCTGGCATGGTGCAAAGGCCAAGACAAAAGTGTCTCCTCGCCGATACCGAGAGATAAAAGATAATCTTACTGTAAGGAAAAGCAACAAACTGCTTTAAGAAGAAAACAAGCTTTGAACGGTCCTTCTTTAAAAGTCATTCACTATCTTTGCTTTCATTAAATGGCTTAGGAACCGAAGAAGGTATTGTTGAACACTAGCCTGGAAATCGTGCAATGTATGGTAATAAATGCTAGTGTTAATCGTTGACATAAGTTACCAGATAAGCAAGTACATTGTGCAGTTTTAAATTATTAAACAGTTAAAGTTATGGAAAAGTTCTCATTAAACTCCTCACAGACCGAATAACAGGAATAAAAAAAGATACAAGTTACGGACAGCAAACAAAGCAATTAAATTCAAGTAGCCAGTACAATATCTTTGTAGCGTTTTCAATTATTGCAATCAGTTTTTGGTTGATTTTTAATGTACAACTTATTTAATGATGCTGATAATGAACTTAACCTTGATTTAAGGACATCCTTGAATGTGGAATAGTACACATTTTCCGATGGCTAGTGCTGTAGGTTAAGGGATGGAAATGGACACCCAGTGTACTCGTTTAAGGTTAATATTAGTCCTTTATAAATGTCTCTGAAGCCATAAGCAGCAAAGAAAGCTGCGAAAGAAACTAAAACGTCAGTGTCTTCGCCAAAAAAATGCACAATTACGAGAAGCCAACTCACAGCCAGGTATACACTTTAGTTTATTTTAAATAACTCCTAATCGGTTAAACTAAATTGTTTTGTCTGTTTTTAGAAGAAATCACCGAAGAGGAGACGGCTCGAATTCGTGCGGAAGAGGAGTTAGAAAAACAGAGGTGTAAAGATATCTTCACTGTAACTTTTATTAAAGGCACGACAAAGAGGAGCAAAAGTGGTTAGAGCGCGAAAGGGTGGCTCAAGAACTCTTTGCACAAAAGAAAGCACTTGAAGAGGCCGAGAAGAGCCGCAAAATCCTTGAAGAGACGGTAGAAATTCAGGAAGGGGAGAGAATTAAAATCGGAACACCGATAAATGGGAAGACCCAGGCAGGCACATTCATGCATTTCACAGTTAATGGTTTCATAAGGTTTTGGTCGGGATTGCAATGAGTACAAAATATCACTGGGATTTTTTGACTTTAATTTCTTTACATAACAAGGAACTAACCCCTAGTTGTTGTCTAAGTGGTATTTTCGTTTTCCTTTAACGGCGGTTTTATCTCCTTATAGAGTGAAGTCCTGCAGCGTCTTCGAGACGGAATAGAAGAGGTACATTTAAATCAGGTCTTGATTACCTCTTATGCATGGTTTCTTAAATTTTCACCCCCTTTGCAGTCTTCTGATAATCTGCCTCCCTACCATCGTCCTGAACCACCGCTTGATCACTCATTTGCTCCACCTTTGGAGTCCACCTCAAGGATCAAGGAACTTTGTAGTTTCTTTTGGAAAACTGGAGCTTGTATCTATGGCGACGGATGCTCTCGTTTTCACCCAACTCCCCCCATCGATTCAGCTGATCTCAAAGTTCTCCAATCATCTGTCTTCTGCCCTCCTTGTCTTGTTTTGATCCTGGAAAACATGTTCGATAACTTCTCTCTCCGTTGTAAGTGTTTTTTTTTGTTCTTTTGCTGACAAAACGTCCCATTCTTGACAAATCTCATCGTGTGGCCTCCAGATGATCCTCTAGAAGTGGACGAATCCCACCTTCAGTCTGATTACGAGGTATTCTATGAGGACGTGCGTCCAGAGATAGAGGTTACTTGTGGCAAAATCTCTGCCCTTCGTTGTTGTCGCAACGCCGCCGACCACCTTAGAGGCAACGTCTACATTCAACTCACTGGTGATGATACTACGGCGATTACGGCTGCTGCACGTCTCAATGGTCGGTGGTATGCTGGAAGACAAATCACAGCACGATTAGCCTATCTGGGAGGTGGTTGGAAGGCTGCAGTTTGTGGTAAGTGGGTAGAAATACCACTGCTGGTGATATTTCAGCCACTCATTGTGTTAATGCTGAAATAGGTCTGTATCTGCGTGATTTATGTCCCAAGGGTGACAGGAGGTGCAACTTTTTGCATCTCTTTCTTAACCCACGGGAATCTTCGGGAGATCTTCTGGCAGCCTTGAGTCGTGGACTCGCCGAATTGCCGTCACGAAGGAAGGAAAAAAGAAGGTTCGTAGCATAAATGTGAATGAATGTGTTGGTAGTGGATTGAATAGCTAGATCGCTGGCTAGGTGAATTGGTAAACGAGATGTGTTTGATGGATGAATTGTCAAACAGCCAATTGGATGTCCGCGTGGCTAGTTTTCTGGATTAGTAAACGAAAGGATAAATTGAAAAGTTTTTTTTTGGAAGGGTGGAATAGTTTGGGTTTGCATCTGACAGACAGGGTGGTTGACTGTTATACCACCTTTTCCACTTTGTAGAGCCTCACGTAAAAAAAACCAGGATAAGGACTCAGACGGTCATCGACGAAAAAGGCGGCGATCTCCCTCGTCTCGCAGTGATTCCGGGCGAAGACATCGACATCGGCAGAAGAAACGCCATCATCGAAGAAAACGGGGTTAACACCGGTTGAGATCCAGAGCATGATCATCAACTGCCTCGTCCTAATCAGCTGTACAATTTGCACATTTTGTATAGATTTTTGTATCTATTCAGAAGTGCTTCTTTATGCTCTTAGGGAATAGGGTCGTCATCATTTTGCTGTAGGTGACAGTCGGTTTAATCAGGACGAGGTTGGGGACTGGAGGGAACTGGCACGACCCACTGCAAGGGGGACCGCCCTCATAAACGGCAAGGCTTTCCCGATCCGGAAGAGCACTTAGTGAGTCCGCGTCAGCAGTTTGCACTTCTCTTCTGTAGTATGGTTGAGAATTTTGATAGGATTCGAAGAGCCACATTGCAGACAGCGGCAGGCGTACCTAAATCTCAAATATATCCATCCGGATTTCTGCGGCTAAAGAGAAAAGGATAAAGCTGTGGGGAAATAATATCTGCTAGGATGATTAAAAATGACGTTTGCCTTTAACAAGTACTCCAGTCCCATATTCTGCACACAGAGTGTTAAAAGGTGAAGCCACTCCAGATCTGAATGAGTCCCATTACTAAGCTGTCTTCGAAACAACTATAAAGATTGACATACGAGAAGGCCTAATTGTAGAGTACCGTTCGATATTAGATGCTGAGTAATAAGATGCCAGTACACCTATTGATCCCCCAATACGGTTCCCAAAGTTGACAAAGCTCTGGATACAGTGGAAATTACAAGATGCACCATTTTCGATGGGGATTGAATGCTGGCTCGCGGACGGTTTATAGAGTACTAACTGCGTTGCGATTGCTGACGCAGGAGGTGGATCAGGAGAAACCCTGGGGGTTCAAAGTATTGCTCAAAGTGTATTTTGACCTTTATGGGCACTTGAGTCTTTTAAAATTTGTGATTCAGCACAGCGGCATGGTGTTTGTCCACACAGTTTGACTATCATCTCTTGTTGTACGTATTCCATGCTATTGTAAGACAAGAGATGTAATGAGATAAAATAAGGAGTATTTGTTTACCACTTTTATATTTAAATTTTTTGCTCATTATTGTGCTTTAAAATGTTTGATGATGCGCTTGGTAAAAGGAAGGGGAATCCCTAAGATGTTTATTGGTTAACTGAAAAGGTTTGTTTCAACTTTGACCTCAATCAGCCTCCCTCCATGGTGTACGGTCTAGGGCGCTTCTGTCGATTTTTCTCAAACACCGCGATTGATTTTAAAGGTGCATATAATGTAATATCTGTTTTTGCCCTATTGCCTGTGATTAGATGAGCGGTTCTTTGCGCAGGAGACCAAAAATCGACCGATATGGTGTATGGAAGTCATTAGGAATCGCGGTGCCTTTTATCGTCCTCGGTGGCTACATCAGCATGAAAGGTGCCGCACTTTTAGAAGAACACGACATATTCGTGATCGAAGATGACAATTGACTTTCCTCTTCTCTTTATTTATGCTCCTGCCTAGTTCATATCGGCTGAAATACCTGAAAGTGTGTATATTTCTCTTTACTGCATTTCTTGTTATTGTTCAGCGGAACATTGATATAATGAAGTTTGGCAAAGAGATTTTAAGGTCAAATGATTTGTATGTCTTCTTCCGGGACGAAACATACAACAAACCTGTTTTGTTCATTTAATCTCGAAAAATACGTCAGAAAACATAAGTTATACAGTTTTTTCCTCGATACTAGATATCGTGTTAACTCAAAAGACGTCTCGGCTTCTGAACTAGTTTGTTCTTGTGTGCACATTTGCATCTAAGAATTGTTTTGTGTATGTATAAAGTTTCACTTGAAAAATTTATTGTTTAGTTGGAGAGTAATCTTGTAGGCAGTTCTCTTGTTGCCTTTAACTAGCGTCCCATGTGCAGCCGAGTCTTATACGTGCGGTAACCTCCCTCTTAAATCTCGGCAGGACAATGTGAATCTTTGGAAATCCCGTTGTGCAACGTCTTCCATTCATCCGAAAAGTAATTCCAGCGTTAGACTGTCTAATCTGCAACCAGTATATGGAGGCTGGATGCTGAAAACTACCCACCCGAATCAAAATTAGATATCATGAGAAGCTTAGCTGTAAAATGGGGCAAACGATCTCGGTTATCCGAACCCCCCTTCTTGGATGAATTCGTCATCTTTTCACATGGTCGATTTTGTCAATTTTTTTCCCAATATCTAACGCTTCCTCTGAAGGAGCACACACCATGGTCCCTCGCCGAACCACTGGTTCTGGAAAGGCACCCAGGAGCCTCCCGGATCAATCCGTCAATACAAAATGGCGTTGCCGTTAAAATACCCGGGCTGACCCCTAATGCCATGGGAACACCTCATTTTCCCTTAAAGAACCTTCGAATTGGAACTTCACACGCGTAAGGCGTCATCAAAGCAAAGTCCTGTCCCGTCTCTTATTCAAACCAAACCGGAATTCTTAGAATGAGGTGCATATCTCAACGAATTGCCACCTCCCCCTTCGCTCTTACTGTTGGCGAAATCGTCCGGTGTACCATCAAATAACTCCTGGCAACCCCTTCATCCCCTCTTAAAATGATGTATCGTAGTTGAGCTTACCATCTCAAGAAGCTGAAGGAGAAGGGACGAAACCACACGCGGGAATCGGAAACACCAGACACGTAAAATTTGATACCGCGTCTCGCGATTCAGGGGATGGTGGCGACAGTAGTGGTGGTTGTGGCAGGAAGGCGGGAAGTGGGAAGTCGAGGGTGGAGTAGGGAAAACAGGCGGTTGGACAATAGAAGGAGGCAGGAAAGAGATTGTTCCAAGGGCAGGCGCTTTGTATACAAATTCGCTCACTCGCCTGCACGCGCAAGAATTCACATTCACATGATTGAGTATCACAGAAAGGAGGAGGGAGAGAGAGTGAAGGGGAGAAAAGAGTGAATAACACACACAAAGAAATTGAGAAGCAGAGGGAGGGGGGAGTTCAAGAAGACGGCTTCGGCTCCGTCTTCTCCCCCATCGCCATAGATCGACTGCACCGAGGCGGTGGAGGGGGCGGCGGGAGAGGTGGCGGAGCGAGGTGATACGCGTCCTCAAAGTGGGTGAGAAGGAGGGCGTGCGCTGACCACGGCAATTCACCGAGCGATCGACGCAGTGGTCGATGCGGTGGAGTCAACTCCGCCTCAATCAGACCCGCTGAGGATACAATTGAAGTGCGTTTGTGCTGTTGACTATCACCGCTGCCGACACCACTGCTACAGCAGGTGTGACTGTGGTTGTGGTGCAATGCGTGTCCCGGTGGTTCTCGATCCGGATTCGAAGTGGAGATGCAGAGTTGTAGAGATTGCTGTGACCGTGGCGTGGCGACGGTGAAGGGTGCGGAAGGAATCGATAGGGGTGGAGAGGTTGAAGAGGATCCGTTGGACTCATCGCCTTCTGTTCCGATTGCTGGCTTGGCGTGGGACTGTAAATTAAGCGCAAAAAAAACTATGTAGGAAGAGATTATTGCCCTCTCTAGTACCACTGCTGGTGTAATCTATTCTACGCAGAGCAAACTCACCAGAATTAGCTAAGCCCGCTAAAGAAAAGGGGGAATTGTTAAATGGGGCTATCATATGACTGATTTTTTTTACTCATTCAGTGTCCAAAACTGTTGCAACAACTTACGAGTTCAATGGACCCAACACCGAGGCGGACGCCTTCAACACTGTTCTCATCATCAATGTGCCGATTTTCGTCTTGTGTCACTGCTTTGGCCCCTACAGTATCCTCCGCAGCGGAGGAGGAGGGAGTGGCTCGTTCAGCAGCTAGACGATGATGATATGCGAGCTGGTGTTCCGTGGGTATTAGGAAACACGACTGGGGGAAAAAAAAGAAGGCACGCAATTATATCCACCTAAAGGAATCTGCCTTACTACGATCAAAAAAAAGCCTCATTCACTGATGAAAGGCTTCCCAATTGGTATTGGTGAAATCGGACAAATAATGACCAATTGGAGCGCTCTCCAAGGTTAAAGAAACCTGGACATCTGGAGAGACACCTGGTCCCGGGAACAGTGAAGGACGAGGAACTAATCCTCTCCAACAGGTTAATTGTTGTGGGAATGCAGCAAAAGGAATGTAGGTCAAGAAGACGAAGATGGTTGTAAAATTTTCTTGTAAATAGCACCAAAGGAAGGAACAGCGCTGCAGCACAACTACGAGGATCGAGTTCAAATAGTTGGGAGATGTTGAGGAGATGACTACGGAATAGGCATGCAGGTCTGTCCATGATGCCCGCACCCATGAAGGCCTCAATTTCAGTAAAAGGGCGTGCGAATACCAAGTGGCGGGTGCGCGAGGGGCAGACGACGACAACCATCCCGCCGTCTTGACGAGAATGGCCACTTTATTCAGCAGACAATCGCTGACACTGGAACACCTGACCACCTTCACAGGCCCAAGCGTGAGCAACCATCATCCCTCACTCAAAAGATCGACTGCAAACCTCTTTTTTCTCAGTCGTAGAATCACAAATTGACGTCATCAGACAAAAAGATGTTGCGTTTCATTTTGAGACAAGCAGAGCTTTAAACAGTGGGGAGGTTTTTCGGAGGTCCCTTTCATGATGCCACCTACGAGACAACGGTTGAAGGTGAGTTTCGACGCATGACAGCACATCCAGTTGGTGCAAAACTCAACATGCCATGGTAATGTCCTCAAGCATGAGGCGAGGGAATTTCCTGCCGGTTCAAAGGGGGTAGGCGTGTTTCACGAGTCCTTTGCCCTTTGATAGTCTCTCCACTGTGCAGAACTGCCTCCCCAATCTGACTGTCTATCTCCACCCTCCTCGCAGAATTCCAATTGCAACAGGACAGATCAAGGTGCGGGTGCTTGTGCAGACGAAAAGGAGGCGATCCAGCCGAGATCGAGATCAAGTTCGAGTTCTGCATCACGACCGAAGGTCGAGGATCCCCTCAAACCATCGTCGCCCCCTCTCCCAGTCAATGTTGAGTGTAATGTGGCAGTAGAATCGTCCGAGTCTACCCCTGTCAGTAAGTATCCGCCTTTTCTCGCTTGACAGTGACATTTAAATACGAGATGCCCAACCTCAGTGGTGTCAGCTAGGATCGCCGAAATTGACTAACTTTCCATTATGGTTGGTGAGAATGCGATGCATCTGTGTGGGTCCACTTCGCAGCTTTTCTGGTAAGTTTGGAGTGAACGAGTGCGCTTCCACCGATCCCCTGGGGACATGGAAATGGTTTCGCATTGACCCCAAGGCGTTGTGCACTCTACGCGTTCAGAGGCCGCGCTATCGACGACTTGGCAAATGACCTGTAAGACGCGAGCGCAGCTCCATAAATGCCACCACACTGTGGAGGTCAAATCATGGGTGACTGAAAAGGTCACGTTGCATTCTCCATACGCCAATGCTGTTGTCAAGTGGGACGAAGATGACGAAGATTCTGACAGATCCACCTGTTCCACCCTCCTTGTCGGTAGCCTTGCCCTGTTCAAGGCTGGACAACGTTCCGTAGCCAGTTCAGCAGGTAGTCAGTCAACCACTAGCTCTGCACAGCAGTCATTGTCAGCTCTTGCAGTATGAAGGGGCGCCGAGTCGCCATGCTTCACTGTTTTCACTTCCTTTGTGAACGGTTCCAGTTGGCACAGTTCGAGCAGTTGCCAGTCGATCCACTCGGTCAGAAGCCTTCCTTGAAGAGCCAATGAAAGGGATCGTGCTCTTTGCCACGTGAGGGGCTACTGGCTCTTCGTTACTCGGCCAGCGTTTCAGACGGCGAGTCAAGTTAACAATAGTGTCATCAGTCAGTCAAAGGAATGCGCTGTTAAATTGCACAGCGGGCCGGGATGTAGGGAGGCGATCACCTATCCCTGCACCATCTGTATTCCGCAGCCATCAGCCAAGAGAGAGCGAGATTTGTCAAAGTATTTTGACATTTTTACACGCAAAAGACCCACTTAGGCTCTATAGGCTTCCCATTACTCGGTTCAATTTTTCTTTTCGCATCTGTGAAATAAATTCCACACTTCCATATTGAATTCCACATTAGTGCTTTCTATATGCCTTAGTCACTTAACCTTTCCCATCTCCGTCCATTCTTTGATAGGATCTGCCTTCAGTACCGATCCACATTCTGGGAGTCAACGAGTACGCATGGGAAAGATGAGGATGAGGTCATTCTGTCTTCGATTACATGTAAAAACATGACTACTATGCAATCATTGGAGACTGCCTCGGTTCTGTCGACGGTAATCATCCACGCATCCTTGAATAAACTCACTTTTAACGTAATAGGCCCGTGTAAAACAGGTGAATAGCTGAGTGACTGCTAGCAGAGGATTGTGAGCTCAAGCGCTCAGGATATTTGTTCTAGGCGCCTTTCTCAATTTTTTTTCTCAAAAACAAAACAGAAAACGTGGTGGAGGACATCTCATTTTATATGGGGGCGACTGTGTGGAAAAGTGATTAAATTAGCCTAGTGATGGATAGAATTAGAAGTTACTGAAGAAAGCCTTTTGAATGAGTTCTAGACTGAATAATGTCATTTAAGATATCAAATGCCTTCATCGAAAACTGAGAGTAGGGTAGAATTGAACGTTTTTTGTTTAATTAATGACTTCCTCGATAAATTGAGCCAATTAGGCTAATCAGGATACCCATACAAGCCTTCAGTCGTGCCTCCTATGCCCCCTCCCCCATTGTGCAAGTAGAAATAGGCCAGGGTCAGATTTATTACCTTGAAAAGGTAAGTAGTCTCCAAAGAGGCCTTGCTGGATTGACAAACGATGCTTAAGGGCATTGGCACAGTCACAGCTTGCCTTATATATGCAACGCTCCGGCGTCACACGTATGTGACGCGCGCTTTGCCAGTTTATAGTAAGTAGTTGTGCCAAACCATGCGTGGCTTTAAAAAATGAGGTCAAGTTCCGACGTTCTTTGCCCAAGGAGGAGAATTACACTTTATGGTATTCTAGCAATAACTGAAATGGGCTGAGGTGGGAGATTTCCCTCCGTGAAGCCCGGCCAGCGAAAATGGAAAATGGCGATGGAACAATGACTCACCTCGAGAGCAGGAATGATTGAGATGAGCGATCTGGCGAGAGGTAGCATAGCATAGGAGAGGAAATTGATTTGACAGTCCACCAAGTTGGACTCATCCATCACCGGAGACAGAGGCAGGTTAGACTTCCGTTCGAGGTCACGCTTAAAAGGACAGGGATGTGAAGAATAGGATGTGGCTCTACGAGACAGAAAATAAGAAAATTATTCTTATCCCAACAGGGATGAATTTGTGCTACCACCGCTACCAGCAACGTCCACGCCTGGGCGCCACCTCCAGGGCAGGGAGGACCAAGGCCACTAACATCCCAGTACCGCCTACAAGTATTCGGAAAGCCAACCTTCCAAGACCAAAAACTGAAAGATTTGAGGTCCTGTAAATTTCACATCTTCAAAGGCTCAATATTTGAAGAACTTCCGGAGACGCCCCATCCACTCACCTGAGCACTGAGCTCGTTGATAAGCCCCATGAGCCAGGGCCGAGCAACATCAACGGGTCGAATCTCCGTAGAGATATCGCACATCTTCAACAGCACCACCATAGTCAAAGCGTGAGACTCGTCGTCTTTATCGAAGATGCCTACTAGTTGAGCGGTGGTCGGTGCGGTACCATTGATGGCCGCTGACGAAGCCGACTCCGACACGTCGCGAATGGCCACTGTTGCGGCATCTATCGAGTGCTCCAGCATTTTGGCTGTGAAGACCTCCAAAATGTCCGTGTGCTTGGCCATGTCGGTACCTAGGATACACCTGTTGGGAAAGCAGTTAGAATGTGTACTAAACTTCAGTTAGTAGATCCAATAAGAGGTCTGCTCCTATCTGTCAATCAAGCTCCAATGCACAAACCTGGAATGGGAATGTCAGAGGATTGCTTCTTTGGACTAATATACCACTGCAGCATCAAGAAAAGATCTGTGTTAAGTCGCGTCGCCGACTAAGAATGATATTTCATGCACTGGGAAAAAGCGCCCACGTTTTAGCAAAGCCTCGATAATTTATCTCAGTACTGAGAGCCAAATTTGCCAGTGATCAAATGCGATCGGTGGTCCTGATGCCAGATCATTTCCTGTCAGTAATTAACTACTCAGTCATGAGGCATGTTGGTTTAAATAAGTGTTTAGCCAAAATTTACAGTCCCAATATTATGTTTTCTCCCATTAAAAGCTAGCAAAGCTGCGAGAAGAAGGAGAGGAGGTGACTGACCGGACAGTATTTTCACGGACAATTTCTATCTCCTTGGCAGTAAAGTTGACGAAGATGTTGGTGGCCGGCGTCCGAACCAATTCAAAAGCCACAGCGCAGTGGTGGTTCTCCAGCGGCGACAGGGAATTGTAGCAGATGGATAGACGCGATTGGGCATTATTCTGCAAGCACCACAATAAAATCTTGCCTTCATATTAGAATCGGTTGTAGATTTGAATAATCAACTGATTAATCAGCCTGGTTGACAACAGCACTAATTACGAAGTCAATATAGGGAGAATACTTTTGCCAATACTGCCCTTTACCTAGTGAAGCCTCACAACGCAGCAGCACACTGCTACTTAATTCTTTACAAGTAGAAACGGCAAGCCTTGAGGGTTCGAGCAGAGTGTCCAATCATTGCTACTCATAATTTTAAGTAGCAGTTGCCGTCGTAAGGCCAACCAACCAGACTCATCTCCACCTTCCCTACAGGAGGGAATCACCACGCGTCACGTTACTTTGTGTCATATTTCCTTCAGTTGAAACCGCAATCATTGATCACAATAACAAATCGACTTGATTGGCCTTTGTTACAAGCACAGGATTAAGGAGCCTGCAGCTGTGCCCTAACCCCAACCCCTTCGACTACACCATAGTGATAATTTATAAAACCCAGGGTTAAGAGTGGCATCAGTGTCAGTGAAGGCCTTAAAGATCGGAATACTCTCCCTCATTGCACTTTCAAGTAGTGGATCCGGCTATCCACCTAGATTATGTTACTCACAGTGAAGGACACCTTCGTGAGTACCGCCGACTACTTACCGCGCTTACAGCACTCAATATCAATCAACACATGAATGCACGTTCACCCGACTGAAAGAAGAAAACTACAATTCACGTTCCAGCTATGAACGACCGTACCAGCGGATCCACCTACCTGGTAAGCATTTGTCAGTCCAGGGTGATCCAGATCGTGACAGATGGCAGCAAAAAGGAGAGTGAAGAGGTCCAGATGGCAAAACAGACTTGCCAGATCCGCACACCAGATCGATGTGTACATCTGCAATTCCCGGTGTCGATGTCCACGTCCATGTTGGCGGAGGGAGAGGTGGCGTTGTCACATTGTGGTCGATGTTGTTGGCAAACGCCATTTGGAGTTATCCATTTCAAGGAGACGACAGGATAAAGAATGTGTGTCAATAGAGTTGGAGGCAATAATGAGAGGCTTTGTTGGTGCATCCACGTGGATGCATCGTTTAAGCATCGATAGATACTACCACTGCGTAATCAAATACACTGCTTTACAGTGAACTGTTACCGAGGCACGGAGACCCAACCACCCCACATCCACATCAAGTTAACCACTCAACCAATCAGCTTTGAGCCACTACATCATCCACTTTTTAATCCGAGTTGAATGTTCTTATGTCAAAGACCTTGGACGGACTGGAAGAAGGAACTACGCCTCTATTAACGCGGAAACACAAGGAGAGACGACACAACAACTTATGCGGAACAGATCTGCAAGGGAGGAAAGTCCAAGAACTGACGCCTTCTTCTTCCGTAGGGACTCGTGAAGGACTTATTGACATCAATTTTCCACTCAGTAGGTCTTGTTAAGTGGACTTCCTTTTGGTTGAATGCTTCCACTCAAGGCAATTGGCAGACGAATTGCAAAATTCAGTCACTTTTTTTGGTATGCAAAGAGGAAAGGGGGAAATAAAGGGAAGGGAAAACGAGGAGGTTGTTCTTTCGTTGGGTAAATTTAGCTTGAAGGGACAAACCCCTCATGAAAAAAAGAGAAGAAAACGTGATTAGCATGCGAAATTTGCTTGCTCGCTTGCTGCAGGCGAATACCATCTCAATCGTGTAGTCTTTTGGGGAAATTCGGCCAAAACAGTGGGCCAGCCCAGACAATACGGGGTTACCAACCAGCCGAGTGCGGGGACAAATGAAGTTTTTGTGGGTGAAGGAGGCATATCTACCCCCCCACCCCCTACGAAGGACTTCCTTCAAGCGCGGCACCCTACTCTGAGGGATGAGGATCAGTTCAACGTCTCAACGATGGCCATGCCTCTACCCCCAACAAGCACCCATGATCTCGACAGCAGTAGTTCGTTTCTGCCCCACAGCATGGCAGGCGGTCGCGTTGATATTTACCTGGCACTTTAAACGCCTCATCCCGGACACCCGATCAAGGCAGCCCTACTGAGGCCAAGGAGTACCTTTGCCAGGCAGGCTACCATTCTCGAAGCGACACCATCGCATCGCATCGCTTGGCGATCAAACTTGCCATCAAACCGGTGGAGGCATGCGGATCCCACACCCAGGGCTGTTCCACACTCACCCAGACCTACTTACAACAGCTTCCACGTCAAAACTCCCCTTCCATGTGGTTGTTATACCACGTGGAATAAGTTTCTCCATGTAGCAGCACAGAAACACAGCAAAGTTAAACGAAATTCAGTGCTGTTCCTACTCTACCAAACCTTGGTCTTGTTCATCTTTCATAAACCCAAGGGTCCCTGTTTAACTTGAACAAGTAAGGAGACACTACCCACCATTTGTGCCACCATGAAGGCGTGTTTGAAGTTGTGGAAGCTGACGCAGTTGTACTTCGCATATACAGCACACAACCAGGCGTCCAAAGTCTCCTCCGGAATGTCACAGCGTTGCACCAATCGCAATCGATCGTCCACTGGCACCTCCATCTCAGTCTCTGCCATCGTGGAGCTGCATTGTGAGGAGAGGACACTGCTAGTGGTGCCCTCATCACCCATGAAAAAGTAGCGCACAAAACGAAGCAATTGAGCGTCTGTGTAGGGCCAGTTGTTGAAAGTCGGTTGACGGAGTTGCTTCCGCAACTCGGCTGACAGCGGTTGGTGTCTATAAAAAGGGAAGGAAACAAAGAAAAAAAAATGAAAATCGCAAACACTTGCTGATCAACATCACATCAGTCCATGGTTAAGAGGCGAGTCAATGCAGGATGGATAATTGTTCCATTGGAACATTCGAAGATGGTTTGATTGGTTGATTAATTGGGTTTGTCGGGGCCTCCCTACACGTACCCAACATAGTCAAGAAACTAATTCAAAGTCATCCTCCCATCTATCCATTCAACATCCAGTCTATTTACCTACCCATCAATCTACTTACTCACCACCTCATCAAACCATTTATTCTTCCATCCTACATCTGTCAACCATTCATCAGGCAATCCCAATTCCGTTAGTTGTAATCCCATCAACCTCCGCCCAGCTCGCTTCCATCCACCTACCACATCCAGCGTCTACTTCAATCATTCACTGACCCATTCACTCCCGACTCAACCAATCAGCTATTGCCACACTTTCAAACGGAGAGCAGAACTACTTAATCGACAGACCTAGTGTGATAGTACTCATTCCACACCGTCCAACACGCCTCCCGAGATTGTCTGATCGCGCCCAGGGACGGGTGCGGCGGTGGTGCTGTGTGCATCCCCGGCGAATCAACATCACACGAGGCCAATGCACGTTCTACTCCCACCAGGAAGGAGGCAGCAGCGGCAGCAGCAGCAGTAGCATTGGTAACTGTGCCACAGGCCGCGAGTCTACGACGACTGACTGGAGCAGAAGCAACAGCAGCAGCAGCAGCACCGCCACCACCACCAGTGGCAGCAGCAGCAGCAGAACTGCTGTCATTTTGACACCCCTGTCGGTACTGCTTGTACTGGTACTCGTAGTGATGGTGATGGAGGCTCTGGTAAATAAAAATAAAACACTTAACAGCAAGTAGAATCTGGTGGCTATGACGTCAATGGCAAGACCCAAGCATGTGCGTACGCGTCCTTGTGCGTAAGCACACACACACACACAAAATAGGCAACAGCAACAGCAGCCAATCGTCGGGCGGTGCGGTCACGTGGCAATGCCAAGAACCATGATTTGTAAGAGCCCTGCTGGAGGCAGACCTGATTGCGTTCCCTCCCTCTTTCCCTCCCTTCCTCCCTCCACGCATTATTCTTATCCACCTCGTGCGTCACGCACTGCAATTCGGACACGAGTGCTGCAATTCCGTCTTTCTCCACCCCAAAAGTGGGCTGTTGTCAACACTGTCCGGCAAAAAAAAAGACGGACAGACATGCATTCACCAACTCACAATCTATGAGGCAATCAATAGGAGAGGCAGTAGTGTTTAACGCTTCCAAGATTGAAATCGGAGAAGAGTTTCACTTGGCAACGCCGATTGCTCACATATTCGAGGAAGTAATTGTCTAGTGCCTAGTTTGTACTGCACTTTCAGGGGGTGTAAGGTCAGCCTCTGGCAAACCTCAGTCCCTTGACGTGTTGGCATTAGCCCCTTTTTAAGGGGGGTTTGGTGTGGTGGCTAAAAAAGTCTCTCTAAAGGAGGAGAGTCTACGACACCGAGAAAACGATCCGATTCGGCATTTCGGGGACGACTGAAACAAAAGAGGTGCCAAGTAGCCCAAAACGTCGCATTCCATCATAGGTGACTAATTTTTCCTAGTGAAACTGTGGAGACAAGGATAATTAAGGCATTTTCCAGCACCCAATTAGGGTATTTAGAGGGCCCATAAAATACCTCAGAGGTAGGTGCATCAAAACTTCCAGAGTTAAGCATAGGTGAAGGAAAGTTATTTTTCCTCCCTAATATGGTTCGAACAGAAGAAGTCACCTCAAAAGCAATTTTAGCAGCGGAGTGCACCTCTCCACCCCAGAGAATTTGACCAGAAAGGAGAAAAAGGAGCCTGTCGAAGGGAAAAAGTGGACAATCGTCCATCGATTTCACGCTCCCCAAGTCAGTCCAACTTAGAGGAGGAGGATTTTTCTTTTTACCGAAAAGTGGCAAAAAATAACGATGTCGCCTCTACTGGGGAGGCGCTTGTAGGCACGTAGAGGGTAAAATGAATCGGCACTTCAAAAGCCTTATAAAAACAGAAAGAAGTGTAGAAAGGGAGTGAAAAAAGAGTACTGTCAACTTATACTAACGAACGCCTCACGGGTATCAGTCGCACAACGATATACTACTAAATTCGCAGTGGGAACATTCATCACTTGGAAAACTGTCTTAATGGAAGAGAGATTAAGGCCAAGGAAAACCATGTCGTCGATGGAGGACTGGTTGGGTAATGAGGTCCCTACCGAGGTGTCTCTCAGAGGCCAGTCAAACATCACAGGAGGCCAAAGAGGACGCGAATTGGCAGGATTAATTTGTGGAGTAATATAACAGCTAGAGCTCGAAAGGGGGGTGTAATTATCCTCCCTAGACTAAAGCCATTCTGTACCTTCTTTAGAGATCTAAAAGTCAACTGGATTGATCACGACAACCGGGAGATGGAAGCTAGAGGCTTGAGTAAATCCCTTAGAGAAGCACAAAATTGACAGCTAAGCACCGCCAGACAGGATAAAATGCCTTTTTAAATCCCCTCCACCCAAAAAAAAAGAAAACTGTCCGCAATTTGCTGAAAGAATGGGATTATGGAGGAGGATGAGGAGGTGGTGGTGGTATCGAATTTCACTGCATGAATAAACAAATCTGTGAATGTGGTTCCAGTTCCGAAAAATGGAAAATAAATGTGGCATTTACTTTAGCAATGAGAGAGAAAGAGGAGAGAGTGGAGTAAACAAAAAAAACTTTTCCCCAAAAGTGCCATCAGAAGCGCCCTTGGAGATCCGTACCAATGTACGCACAGGTAAGAACATTACCAACGCGGAGGATCTGGCCACGAAACCCGTTCGACAACTACCAAAATTAGACCATAACGTCTGATTGTCCCTTATGAACAACTGCAAAGGTGTTTTGAAGGGGGACTCGGGAGAAACTGCCCCGGCTGCAGAAAATACAAAAAATTGCAATAGGAGGAATAGTTGATGAAAGTGAGAGGAAGAGGAGGAGGAGAGGAGGAGAAATTCATTTTATCACATGAATAACTGGTTAAATAGAGGAATAAATTCTATTTTATTTAACAGAGGAATTCCTTAAAGCTAAATATTAGGGACTGCTGTGAAGATTCAAAGGGTTTAAAACCATTTACAAGGGAGGACCTTAAACGGCTACGAAGACCATGATCCCGAGAAGAACAATTAAAGGAGCGGAAGCATGAATACAGTCGTTTTTCCTGGGTAAAGTAGGCAGATTTCACCTGCTAATGCACATACGCAAAACCCATTGACCTGGCAGTTTCCGCGATCCTCTTATCATTTCCCTGAAATATTACCGGAAGTTGCCCCTCACTCGATTAATTTCAACCCTTCGGGTACCTTCTCGAGGACTGCAACAAAACTGCGGCGGTACGTTCTGCCATGGCCTACTGAAACTTCGCCAAGCCCTCTGCAAGACATTCAAAGCGACCTTCTGTAGCAGAGTGGATGGGCTCAAAGTGGGCGGAGGGGGCACAACAAAGGGCAGGTAGCCAAGTGCCAACAGAGTGACGCACATACCTAACATGGAGGACTTGCTATGATGCACACAAGTAAACAATGGCATGGATGTTACAAGTCCACCGAATAAGTTACAATTTAACCAGTGTACCAAATCACACACAAACTTTTCAGTCATTTCTCACACCGAAGCTGCGTCCCTTAAACAGGAGAGAGAGAAAAAGAGAATGACATAAAAAAGGAAAAATAATGCCGAAACCTTTGGTGGAAGTTACTAAGGCGCATGAAACAGTCTAAAGATGTCCTTTAAAATATCACTGCCCTAACGATAAGAAAAGTGCGCATAAATCACTTATTCACAGAAAATGGGTTGTTTCTTCTACTCTTTGTTTTATTCTTTTGGAGGGAGAAACAAGTGGGAAGCTGGAAAAAAGAGGGGGAAAAAAGATGGAACAGTTGTTGGTGGATTGGCAACAACCAGCGAACCGTGGTAATCAGGTGACGCTTCTAGGCTACGTGACCACCCAATCAGAAAAGGGCAACCAGAGGGGGCAACCGGCACCCCCTGTTTGGCAAGACAAGCATAGATCTTGAATTTCGTGGACAGTCATCACGTTGAATCTAAGCGATCAGCCAATCAAACAACCATTTAGTAGCAGGAAGTTTACCCGTCATTGTTCAAATTTTGAAGAAAAACCTAAAAATGTGACGCTGTTTTTTCCGGAGGGCCATATCAGTCGCCGAAGTACTCGAGACCTTGGCCTACTGAGTGATGCGGTTAGACCCTTCCTCTCAAAAGTGATAAAATCCAACTAGACTAGACGAATTTTGGATCAATCAGGTAAGTAGTTACAAATCTCGTTGTCCACCGCATGGCTAATTTTCAAAGAGCCCAGAACAAATACTCTTTCCCCTCAGTGTCGCGGTTTTTTGACCTCTTCAAGAGCCCACGAGGCCCGATTTTCACTAAGGCAACGCGGCCCTTAGTAACATCTTGATAGGATCTAAGGTCTTCTAATGAAAGGGTCAACTTCAAGCCACCATGTCACTTCCACCCAGGTTACCATCTATTTAAGGACACCCAAGCGATTTGGGGAAACGATTACACAGGTAAACAAAGAGCCTAGCAAGATTTACGCACATTAGGTCAATTTTAGATGAAAGAAGATCAAACAAATACACTCCAACAATTGCTTGATTTAGTTGACAGCTCGGGCTTTGGGTGGCGGGTGATGATGCCCTTTGGAAGAAACCATCAAAAGCAGCATCCGAATGGGATAGGAGGTGGAACAGTCACGTGGACTTTTGCAGCGCCAGCCCACGTATGACTGACTGACTGACTGACATACCCGCAGCAAAGGTTCATGTGACCACGGCTTCAATTGATGCCAGACCATCTGAGGGACGCGGTAAAGACGTCCTTTCCACCACTGCCTTCACCATTCGGCCTTCGCGTAGTTTTTGAAGACCCTTTCTTTTAGACGGAAAAAATACAGGAATTCTAACCACATGAGGCCAGGAGATGCCCGAGGGAGGTTGATAGACCTGCAGCTGTGTGATATCGTCATCGCGGGGTGATAAAATACCGCCCCAAAAGTCGGGTCTTGGGGGATGGAAAAGGCCCGGTGTGTTCTCCAAGCAGGTAGGCAAGTCCACTTGTGCGTGGTATGCCGACCGAATAGGGATGGGCAAAAAAATCACTAAATTTAGACGCAGAGAGTCAAGAAAGGATGTGACATGCATGAGAGAGTCTCCTCTGTTTTGTGGGACGCAAAGCCAATCAGCCAAGTGAAGCCAAAAAGGGAGAATAAAACGCTATTCCAAACAGAAAAAAGCGTTATTAAAGGGAAGCATACATTTACTACATTACTTTTCTGCAACTACAAAGCTCCAAGGCAATAAAAATACAACTAACCTTGGAGATATAAGAACGGAATTTTGGGATTTGCGTATAAAAGGGTAGAAGTTATACCTAATTTTGTGTCAAAGTCAAGTCATGATGAGAATACGAAATCGTCAATGTACAGAGTTGAAAAAAAAATCCCAATTTTTTACCCACAGCAACGCAAAAATTTTATCGCTAACTGCATTTTTCCCGTGGTTTTAATGACCAGGTATAAGGAATAGAAAAAAAGGCAAAAGTCATGCTAACCGCAAGTTCCTTCCGCAGATTGGCGAGATTGGAGAGGAGGGGCTGGAGGGAGGGAATGTAAGAGGGGAGGTCGTTGGAGTGGCAGCCTCTTCCACTGCCGATTTCGGGGCCGGTGAGCTGGGACGAGGAGGAGGAAGGAGGGGTGGTAGAAGCGAAAGGAGAGTTGGGTTGCCTTTGGTGGACTGCAAGCGACTCGCTAAACCGTCGAAGCGCTTCCTCGAATTGGTTCGCCCTAAAACGATTTGGAGGAAAAGTTTGATAGAAGTGTAGGGACCGCTAGATAATTAAAGGGGCCATGGCTTAATCAAAAGTTGACTAGCTCTTCAGGCAGGTTTTGGGGCTATGTTGTTGGTAATGTCGAAAGAGAACTGCCTGGGCTTCGTCACAAGGAACTTCGAAGTTCAGTTTTATAGAAACAGCATTCCATGGGTCCTCAGGAACCTTCCATGCGAGAATAGCGGAAAAGACACCAACCCCATTTCTCACAAGCTACTTTAGCACTAATACAAATCGCCGCAACACATCCCACTTCCAACCTATTCAGACGATAAGATCTTGGGAAGCTTCAAAGCCTTCCACAAAGAAATAGGAGCGAAACTTGCTGCAGCTCTTACATACCATTTGTCTTCAATACAAGGGACTGATAACTTTTGAAGTCCAAATGGGTAATTGGAGTCTTGGCAGAATTTAAAACCGTCTACGACAAGGTGAAGAAAATGGAATTACCTACGATATTCGCCGCCGATTTAAGGGCATCTTGAAGATGGATTCCTCACAACCAATACGGCATGGAAGGGACAAAGTCAGACGAAACCTACATTATTTGCCTCCATAAAAACATAATCTAACGAACTAGTGTGTTGGTTTCCGTTCTAACGGGTGGAAAATTTTTAGAGGGGAAATGTTTTAACAACTTCGAGCGGCAGTACGGAATTAAATGCACTTTTACACATCTGTCCCTCCCTCCATCCGCCCTTGGTGTTGAAATCAAAGAGTTGCAAGCGGGGAAATAAATCATGCTGTGACGTTTTTTGGCCTAAATCACCTCACCGGCGCCACAAACAAACGCAGGCACACGTGACACTGTTCACATCATTACCATCAACCATCACCGGACGTCCGTCATGCTGACCACACTCGTTTATAGCCTCAGGTTCAACCCTAACTCTCTCTCTCTCTCTCTCTCTCTCCACTCTTGCTGCTGCATTTCGCATTTGCAGCGCGGACAGGAGAGAGAAGTAGGCATTCACTTCCAACGAGAGGTTCGTTTTTTGCCTGCTTTTTTGATGGGAGTACCTCTTTTTTGTTTGATGGAACAGGCATTCACTTGCCCACCAGCTTGTTCTGGTTAGACTGAGAACCTGTTCCGCTCGCAACCCACCCTCCCAAATCCTTCACTGCCAAAGAGAAAAAATTGCCAAACGATTTGTTTGCGGAATGAAGTTCAACGATTCGGTGCTAGGCTTGAATTTCACTACAATTTACAAGAAAACACCAAAATTTGCTTATTTTAGGTCTTGTTTTAATCGTAGTGAGGTCAAGATCAGCTTCCCTTTGACCGCAAATAACAAGTTGCAACCACATTGGGAACTAAGCCTAAAAGGTCACAAAAATTCGATGTAAGGCTACTGGGTTCAACCCAAGCCTACGATGAGTGGCCAACCCAATCCACATGACAATTGCAAGTGGATGACGGATAGGGAGAAGGTCCAAATTCCGATGGATTAGCCTCCTGCCTATCATTCCAGGTTTATTTTCAACTCTGGCTCTAGCCTTGATGTGATACCGGATTAAATTTTGGCCCATTGTTGGTAATTAAAGGCTATAGGTCAACATAAGGTTAATCGGTTTAACTTAAGCTTCATATCAGCAAAAGAGCCACTTTCAGTCGAACGACAACCTGATTTAGCGGAAAAGAATTTCACCGCACGACATGGTGGAAGGTAAATCCATGAAGACTGTCAGTGACCCTGAGCTGCCATCTGTCCAATATTTTGCTTGAACCCTTCCAAGGTCAGAGTTAGCCCTAATTCCGGCCTTACAACTCTTCCAATGATTTCAAGCGAAAGTATCTTACCGTATTGGAGGCAGTGAGATTAACTGTATCAAGGTGAAAGAGAAGCTGTCCCAATGATAACCTCGGCCTGGCCTGGTTTTGTAGTGGACACTTTTACTTGACAAGGGCATGAGAGATGTACTTATTCACCGCTGTATGGTCTGATTTAAAAAGGCATCACAATCCCCAAACAGAACTTTCATAAAGATATCAAGAAACATCAGTACTAAGAAACCACTTTGACAGCTACATGAACAATCGGTCCGTACATTGACACCTAGTTCGTCAAACCAGCCCATCCGGCCGCTGAAAGGGTCAAAATAGCAACGAAAAGGAAGTCCAGGAAAGGGTGGAAAAACATATGCCAGCTAATGCGCTGCAACTGCTTTTAGAGGCACAGAAAAAGTCCATACCACAGAGAAGCTCCAAAATGTGAACCGAGAAATTCTGCACTTTCCGTGAAAGTGCTCTCTCAATAAAACGCATCAATTTTAACGTGATTTTAACAGAACTTAGCGTCAATCAAACGTACTTTCTCGGTTAAACAATGTCAATGAACTTGGAAGGGGTGAACATGCAGATAGTCTCAGTAAGCTCGCATCATAATAGGCGGTCCAACTAACCCACTAATTACACCTCCAAACACTAATAGTAACATTTGCAGGAAGTGTTTGACAATCAAACGCAGTCAAACAACGCTCCAGTAGGTGCAAATAATCCAAGTATGCATTTAAAGCCCACGCAATGATTCAGCTCGATTTGAAAAGGGATTGACCGCTAATCAAATCTACAACGACAGATCACAACAAATCAGCAGATCTCAGATTGAACGGATACCTTGGTTGGAATACAGAAACAGCCAGCCAAATAGCTGACCCGAGGCAAAAGACGTGGTTAAGGTGTGAACACAAAACGAGATATGTAAACTTCAATGGAGGTGTAGGCTGGAGAATTACAAGCAAGGTAAACAAAGGTGATCGCAATAAAAAAAAACAACCAGGCGCGCATGACTCGTGCAAGACACATTCAACACGAGTTAATGCAAGTGCCAGATGGATAGCCAGACCACAGGGAAGTATGTTTACGAGGAGAAAAAAAACAGCGACGGAAGTAAACAGCATAGTACTTCGAAAATAAAAACACCAACTGGTATGACTCCGGCTTTAAGTAGGCAATTCTCTGGGCAAGGTACCCTTTAACAAGGCACCCGCTTACAGCGTAAATAGCTGACGACCCGACTCGATGGTAATGGTGAGTGATTTTGCACAAACTTGAGAAAATAAGGTGAATACTTCTGACACGAGGATAGGCCGATACCACAGAAAAGGGAGATACAGTAACAGCACCAAAAGAGTCAGTTTGACGGTCCATATAAAGTTTCCAGTAATAGTTATTTAGTTGGAAGCAACTTTGAAGTCAGATGATGAATGGGAACTCCAAAAACCGTAACTCGAAACAGACGAGTAGTCTCCGGATTCAATGCGACAAAACGATGTAAATAAGAAAGACAATACCACCCGAGAGAAAATTTAATAGCCATTTAATCAACTTGGGTGGATTTAAAAATAAGTAGGAAGGACTATTCAGTGGCATGCTTATAGGCTGACATTGCCACCCCCATAGTAGGCACAAATACACAAAAGCGGGAGCAGCAAGAATTATTAACTGCCCCGTTTGAGACTGTTGAACTATCACCAAGACAGTTTTATTGCTGAATTAGCAAAAGCGATAAACACCGACGCCGCATACATAAGCCGTAACAGACATCACCCCTGCATTAGCCAAACCAATGCCAACGATACCATACAGACTAGACTACCATTTAATCCACTTATTCAAGTCGAACACATCTGCGTAACAGATCGAAAGAAAGAACTCATCTCTGTGTCACCTTGTAATTAGGCCAGGATCTGAGGTCACGACTATGACTCCTCCAGTTCCACCAATCTACAAACCAACCACCTAACCTTCAAATAATACCAAAGTGACACAACGATCGGACGAACGGCGGTACGGGCAGACATCCGAAAGCAATATCAAAGTGCCACACGTCACTTTAATCCCAAATCAGGAGCAGCCATCACCGCCAACATGTGATATACACACGGTAGGGCGGTGACTCGCTCGTACGATGACTGAGCGGTTCGCAAAACCAAACTCCAAACACAAATAGACAACCAACCACATGCAAAAATACGTACACATGCAGGCATAAAAGTAGTCACAAACACACGGAGCATGTGAGACTACTCCTATGACGGTAAAATCTGCATCCCCCTGGTAACCTTAATACAACCTTGAAATAAGGCGCAATAATGACGTTGCCACTAAAAATACCCCAACCACACCCTTCCACAGCAAATTGCCGACGTCAAACGAAAAAGATAATTGGAACATCAGTCTGAGAATGAACTAAATATCTTCAAACTAGCTTACCGTATTTCTAGCTTCTTAGACAAATCAATTAGCCGAGATTCATCCACCATGCTCTGCCTCTATAAAAAGAAATAAACCGAGCTGTGAAAGGCTTTACAGCCTGTACAATGCAAACAAATGTAAACCTGCCTTTACAAAGAGCATCTTGGAAAGCCAATGAAACACAATCTAAATTGCGTGTCATACTGTATACCTTGCAGTACATAGCATAAACTTTAATAAAAGGAAACAAACTACATTTAAGCTTTTCAGGAAAATAAAATTTAGACAGAACAACTATTCAAAACGCACTGATACTAAAAAGTAACAAAGGCGCACACATGATGGTCTCGATGTTAACACTAAAAAACCTAATCAAAACTTAGTGAAACACCAGACGGCATGCAGAGTGACCAAAAATAACATTTAGGAGATATGACGGGTCGACTAAACTAATAAATTGGTAGAAGTTATAAAACACAGCACATCCATCACAAAAGTCAGAAAAAAGGATAGATTAACACAAAAAAATCCTTCAGAAAAAAAATCTGCAACATAAAATACCTGTGGGTAAGGTAAATGCGTGTATACACATTGTGTAATGCAGCGCATATAACAAGATAGTTACGTGAAGATGCAACCCAACTTATTAGCAAGACAGCCCAACAAATAAGAAATAAAAATGACACGTTGTATTAAAATAATTCTGTCATATTAAAGTAAACAAGCAGTAGTGTAAAAAAAGCTAGACCTACTGCAAAACAACATTGAACGCATAACCCGCCAGCAGCTGGTGATATTTTTAATGAAGGTGGTTGATTACAACAAAGGAAACAAAACTAATTTTGGCCATAAGTAAAGCAAAAAGACATCAGGAAATAACAGCCCAAAGATGCACTTCTCTACTAGGCAAATTTAGGGGGATGTGCTAAAAGAATGAAAAAACGAGCAAAAACAAAAGTTGAGAAAAATACTACAAGAGCGTACAGCCAATTCAGTACATACCTTTTAGTACACTAATCCTCTAAAATGCAAAACTTTTAAAAGGTGTGTCAAAGATTTGGCAGGCCGTAAATGTAATACTTCCATTTCTCTCCCTAGTCAACTGATTCTGCTTAAAACTCGGCATCAACCAAACCATCTAAAAATGTGGCCTAGGATTACAGCAACTTGCTGTAAGATGGTGTAATACGATAGTGCTTTATCCTTCGGCATTGGTAAGGCGCCACTTTCGTATTTTGAATTATCCCTCTCGTACCTCGCTGGGTGGGCTGGCTTTTCGGGCCATGCCAATAGCCCAGACACCTTCTCCGTGCTGAATATATATATTCGGCCCGAGTATTGTGTCTTCTTTCGTCTTTAGGGAGTCTCGGGACGCTACCTTGGTGGCAGTGGAAAGCGAACCCGATCTTTAAGGACATGTATCCTGATTTTCCACTTCTGCGTGATAAACTCTATTGGAGCGGAAGAAGTACATATGCTAAGGATGGGAGAATGGTGATGACTCCTAACAGAAGGGTTGATGTTGACATCTACCTTCGGCATCTATCCCAGTCCCGTGTTCTGAAGCAAAGCTATCAACAACTGAAGCGACACTAGCCTTGAACCATCTGGGAGTTTTATTACGGATTTTCCCTACCGTCCCCCATGGACCTGTATTAAATCCCGTCCTTCCTTACACAAATTTACTTTTAGGCCAGTGTTCCTACATCCATCTATGGACACGCATGATGGCCAGCGCAATTCCTTGTCCTGAACCAAGTTCCTAAACCGGACGAAACTCCAGGTCCAGTCAAGCCGCCAAGAGGGATCAATGACGTTGAGGTCAAGTATCTCCTCAGTTGCACGCTAATTTGTTGACTGGCACGACCGGATCGTGGGTGTTTCTTTACTGCACCGAGTACTTTGTAATGGCTGACGCGGGAGGTTGACCAGTGGGTGCGCCGGGGGCGACGCTCAAAAGAAAAAAGAGGCCATGTAATATGATGGTGGTTTATGCCTCAGTATTGGTGAGGCGCCACTTTTGTACTTTGAATTAGCCCTCTCTTGTCCCTCGCTGGGTGGGCTGGCCTTTGGTCCATGCCAATAGCCCAGACACCTTCTCTGCGCTGAATATGTATTCTTTTGTCTTCGGGGAGTCTTGGGACGCTATAATAATGGTTTTCTACCAAAAACCTAAAATGCGGCCTGCCTTGCTAGGCATGCAAATAGAAATTTTTCGATGGGCCAAACTCATCCCAAACATCCATTGAAAACACTATGCATAGGATTTTATTGCTTAACGTAAATAACTTGAGACAAAGAGTTGAATGCAAATTTGGTGTTACTTGTTCAGCTAGCAGCTTGCTGCGGTTACCTAAGGGATAGATAAAAGCTATAGCCACACAAACTTCAACTCCGACACTCAACGTCAATGCTAGTTTCATAGCAAAAACACTTATTTCCAAAAGCAATTGTAACATAGGTTTTATGTCAAATTGCACTTCTCACCCATAATCAGATCCCTAGTAGACCGGTCAGAAAATAAAAAGGCTACCGATCCTCCTTCCAAAAAGGTGCTGCATAAGAATACGAATAAATTAGCAAAAATGGTTAAAACCCATTCCAAACGCTACCTAGTAAGGGTATTAAAAGCTCCCTTTGTACTCACCTGTATTTTGGTTGTTTCGCATTGTTTAAATTAAGTGAAATCTATAAAAAACACCTTTGCTTGCTTTGTATTTAGTTTTTTTTTCTAGTCCCTCCGAGAACAACGTGATAGGCCCCCTATTTCGAATATCTGCCATTTTAAGCTCATGCATTTTTAAACAAAGAATGACATACGATGAATGGTTGTTATGTAAAGTTGACCTATACTGTATAAACTAATTTAGGATGAATTACCGTAAAAAGATATGGATTAGTCTCCATTTGGTTAATTACATTAATGCGGTTTTGACCATATACTTCACATTAGGGGAGAGAGAGCACTAATTAACACTGCTTATTTGTGGGTGGCTTTAACCATTACTAGCTGTTAATGTTGCAGCATTTAATTTGACTATAGCTTTTTGTGTATATGCAAGAATTTTTAGGTAATTTGGGTTGAGTCAACATCACCTCATGGCTTACTCGTGCCACATTGACAAAATCTTTCTTCTGTATTTGACATGTTGTAATAAACTTAATTAGTTTAAATATCAGGCTAACTTTTATCCTAATAACATTGTAATGCTAAATGCTGACCGAGCAAATTTGTTTAGATTTATCGATGCACTTCTTCCATAAAGGACAATGTCCCTGCCGCTGGGGTCAGTCTTGGCGCCCCTCTGTTTCGTTGTTTGCGTCCGTGTCGATCTTGACCATGGCACGTAAGCTGTTTGTTGGTGGTAACTGGAAGATGAATGGCAGTTATAGCCACATTGACTCCTTCTTTGAAACTCTCAAAAAGGCTGATACTGATCCCAATGCTGGTAACGTTTTGTTCCTATGGCAACTGCATTCCCTCAGATGTTGTAATTGGTGTTCCCGCTTGCTATTTGAAGTATGCTCAGGATAAAGCTCCGAATGGCATTAAAATCGCCGCCGAAAATTGCTACAAAGTTAGTTCTGGTGCATTCACTGGTGAAGTAAGGTAAGTATTTGGAGAATTTATTCCGAAAGTTACACATTTGTTAACGGTCGTAAAATACAATCTTTAATATTTGTAGCACTGAAATGATTAAAGACTGTGGATGTGAATGGGTCATTCTTGGCCATTCTGAGCGTCGTCACATTTTCGGCGAGTCAAACGAGGTTCGTCTACCCCATTATATATCTTAGCAAGATTTTTCTTTAGTTGATCGGAGAAAAGGTGAAACATGCTCTCGATTCCGGTCTTAACGTTATTCCTTGCATCGGTGAACTGCTTTCAGAACGCGAGGCGGGCAAAACTAATGACGTTTGCTTCGCTCAAATGGAGGCCATTGCCAGTCAGTTTGGTTTTCACCATCTTTGCCATCTCCCTGTAGACTCCTAAATAATGTTCCTCTTTTATTGCAGAAAATGTTCCATCAAAGGAAGCCTGGAATAAAGTTGTTATTGCTTACGAACCTGTTTGGGCCATTGGCACTGGCAAGACTGCAACGCCAGCTCAAGCTCAAGAGGTTCACAAGGTCGTTCGTGACTGGATCCGCAAGCACGTGGATGTCGGAATCGCTGACAAGGTTAGAATCCTCTACGGGGGCTCGGTTACGGCTTCCAACGCCAAAGATCTGGGTGCCCAACCCGACGTGGATGGATTCCTTGTTGGTGGAGCCTCCCTGAAACCCGACTTTGTCACCATCATCAACGCAAGAAGATGAGAGAATGGGGCTGGCCTAATTCTATCTGTTTCCTAATCTCTTCTTTCCTTTTTGACGCCTCCCTTTTTTATGCTCCGTCTCTTTCTAAGTAAATTAGCCTCCTTATTCTTCGCCACTTTTTTTGTTAATTTCCCTTGTCTGCCTCATAAATGTTGGCATTTTCAGTTAGGGGCTATAAAAAGTCGACTTGCCTATCTTGATTGCTGCTTTCCTCCCATTGTTTTCATTGTTTGCGTGGTGTCAGGCGCACTGCCGTTTTTTCACATGCAGTGCTTGATATCCTAGTTGGTCATTTTCAAGTGTTATAGCTAAAGCTGCTGGGTGAGGTATTCTGTCACGCGACCAGAATGATGAGCTCCAAGTTTTCTAATGGCTTCTTAGAGCTCTGTAGTGTAGTTTTCAGTAATTGATATGACCAGGGCGGTTGAACACCTCCACGCTTGTACTGACCAAAGCTGTTCCAACTCTGGCGTGGAGTTTGCTGCTTTTTCACGGATAATGCTTTTCAGAGTATCCGGTACAAGAAAGTCATTTCGACTCAGATGTCGACAGGGCCATCTCGGCGACCCCTGTCATTCCTCGTCTGTGTTGGACATCGCAAAGTCGGAGACGCAAACGAATTGGAATTATTTCCTGGCCAGAAAGAGATTGTTATAACAGGTATTGATGTACTTGATGGAACACATTTAATTTAATACTTGTTTGGAATGACCCTTTGAGTGGGCTGGACCGCGGAGTGAGTCTACAGGCTACACGACGCCCTTTAGAGTGTGTGTGTGGAGGGGTGTGCGATACGCGGTCTCTCCTATTTCACAACTCATTCTGTAGTATTGTCAAATGTGTATGCGAATATAACGTAGTAATTGTTACCTGGAGTAATGCGGAGGCCGTAAAATGCAGATGTCATAATCTTCCTTCGTTTTGTGGAATAGAAAGGATGCATTACCGGTGACTTGGCGACGCATAGATGTTGCTCATCAAGAAGTTAAGGATGCGATTTTTCCTACTATTCATTCATCTACCTATTTGTTCTGTATATATCCATCCATCCATCCTGTAACCACCCATCCATCCATCCATCCTGATTCCATCCATCAGTCCCTTACGCATAGTAAGGGAGCATAGAAGCCAGGGGAAAAAATGTGTCATGGCAATTTTGTGTAAGCAGTTGCTTGTATATCTGTTCCACGTGAATATGGAAAGGTATTTCCCTATACCAGTCAATGATCAAAGACTCCTTTCCCATCAACACTTTCCATAAATTGACAGTGAAGGGAGGAAGAACAGATTAGCTGTCTCCCAGCTCAATTCCCATCCCTTTGTTTAGGTGTGTTATGGATTTGGACATTGTTTTAGACGAAATTGGCTGATGCTTCTTGGTCAGTTGTGAGACGCCGCGTCCTCCACTTCGCTTGGTGATGCCCTTCTTCGTGGAACACTATCCAGCCTTCAACCAAACCTATCTTATCACTTATTTCTATTATATCTTGGGCCTAAAGCGACTGCAGTCTATAAGCAACGTCAAAATCGACGCGATTTGCGGCTGCTGGCTGTGGTACTAGCCCGTCACCCTTCTTGATGTGACACCAAAGCCAATTTCCGATATTGCATCCCCTAGAACACTTAAAGGGAGATATTCCCATCCCTTTATATCAAAATCCGATGTGGCCTACTCGCTTAACTCCTAAACCTTACACACTTAATTACGAGCACGAAATTGCTTTTTACTGCAAAGACCTGCAAAGGATCTGTCAATTGTCAATCAAAATCGGGTGTCGTGATATGCAAATTGCAATTTCCACTGCCATTGTTTAGGCACCCTCAATGACGCATGTTGGAGTATTTCTTTGTTTGATGCGGAATGTGCTGCGTCGTTGATAAAGGACTGCGAAGTCGTGACTACGTTGACTTGTCCAAACTCGGCTACACTCCCCCCTTTTTCGAAAGGCCTGTTGCATTTACTACTTTTTCTTTAGTGTTATAAGCCAGGCTTACTTACAACCCATTTGATCCTAAAAACAAGACTATTTCTCCAAATACGACTATCACGCAGCCTCGGGAACTTGGCGCGGTGTGCAAGTCACGTAGTCAGCACCCATAGCTCATCCTCCTCCGCCATTGGACACCTCAAGGTCATCATTGGCGCCTTCGAAGGAGGCTGCTTTATTTGACACACCCATAGACGCACCTTTAGTTCGCTTGGGTACGGAGACTGCTTAGGCGATAATGATATGGTACAGAGTAGCAGAGTGAAAAAATCCATTTTGGGGAATTCCAGGTGAATAGGCATTTACAAGGGGAACAGTCGGCTTTGTCTCAACAGTAGTGCGCGATTGAAATGAAGAAAATTACTATTTATAATGAAAGAATCCAAACTGGGCTTCATTTTTACCAAATTTGCGAAATGCCCGTTACCATAGTTACGATCAAGTAACATCGGACAGAGTGGGGTAGTGGCGCCTCGCCTTCAGCGTAGGTGACTCACCGTTTATCGAATTTTTATCGACTTGGCGGCATTTCTGACACGAGTAAATGACGCTCCCAAAGGGGCTGTTTTGATGTCTAGATTCAAAGCAGGACATTAAACTTTTGCAATTTGTTATCTCGATACGAACATTTGCTGTTCTACAAGATGACGCAGCATTTTCAAGGCATGGAAATCGTGCACTAGTTGATGCGTCTACTCTTGAGGGTATGGCAAGCCAATCAATTGGCGATCATGACGTAATTGAGGAACAGACGTAAAATTTGGTGGAAGTGCTTTGATATTGCATATGAGGAAAGTGGTAGGCGTTTAAAGGCCTCCATGCTTAGCTGATGGAGGTCAAGGCCCGTCAGGAAGTAAAACCGGCCGATTTTACCGCATTAAATCTGTCCGGTGGTAAACGGAAAACCGTTGCCCAAGTGGGCCAGGTCACGAGGCCACCGATGACTAATGGAAGTGAAGTGTATGGGGGAGAGTGGCGGATTTCAAATGCCCCACTGACCAATCAAAGTCGAGCTATCAAGGAATGCACCAAATGCCATTTGAAATGCCTGTGACCTCATAATGCATATTTAAAATGAAAAAATTGTCCCCATATTATATTATATTATATATTATAAGGTGAGAACAATGTAGCCACCGCTAATGCATGGCAGTGTTAAGAATGTTATTGATGAATGCATGTATGGATGGATCCAGGATGGATGGTTGGAGTCATATTTGTTCTTCACCCCTTCGTCTTCGATCTCTGGAAAGCGCTGATGGCTTCCCATATTCCCATGGAACAAATAAACAAACAGCTACCCACATAAAATCTCCTTAATGTGTTTAAGGGACTGATGGATGGATGGGTGGATGAATGGAATCAGGATGGATACGGGATGGACAGATGTAGTTAGCAGTCCCTTTACCCTCCACCAAATTTGTGTCGTCAATGGCCTGGAAAGGACCGCAAGCCTCCCTCCATTTCAAACAGCCTCTTCTCTGTTGTATGCGCTCCGCAGTACTTCAGAAATGACTTCAAACTACTGTAGATGACAAATTTGCAGAGACGAAACCATCTTTCCGGCCTTCCCGAGAAGGGAGATGGCTGATCACATAGGCGGTTTCTCCCGTTGCCGTAATGGGTTAACCAATCAGAAGCCGCCTTGTCAGTGATGACCCCTTTTCGCACACCACGGAATTGTCAGCATCCAAATCCCATTTATGTCAACCCAATTGTGGAGCACCAAAACCCACCTGCTGTACCCCTGTCCACAACTAGCAGTATTCAATGTAGAAATTTTTAAAGAAAAATAACCTTCAATCTCGGTGGAGAGCACCGCTGACCTCGCTTTCAACTTCAAGGTCGAATTTGCAAACAAATTTTTCTTTCCACATACACCCGAATTTAAAAGGGACGGGGACGTAAAATTAGGACATTTTCACAAAACAAGATTTAGAATTACAGGCAATGAATTTGTCCTTTAAATGAGGAAGTCAAGCCCAAGTTTACTTGCACCTTTTGAAGTGCAACCAGGTCATTGTCCTGCGGTCGCTGCGCCTTCAACAACGGAAGTGCTTTAAGCATCAGGGGATCATTAAGTGTGGGAGTGGATTTAGTGGAAGTCTCTCCTTTTCCTTCCTCTTTGCAATCAACTCGTCCTCCACATTTAATATGAAAGTTACAGGCCCATGAACTCGACACCAGTACCCCGCTGATGGCCTCGGGTCACCTCACCTCACCTCGTCAGATTGAAAGGTGACCGCATTGGCGAGAATGAGCTCTTCACAACGCCAAAAACTATTAGTTCGATAAACTTTTCAGAAAAAAAGCACCTGCCAAAACCTCTTTCTAGACTGTTCAGCTTGGAGTCATCACCACTGCCATCTGGAAGGCTTCCAGGGCGAGACGCGAAGTAGTCGCGAATGGCAAACCGAACGAGAGGGCATAGAGCTAGGCGCCACCTCTGGCATGCAATCACGCAAATGTCTGGTGGCTGTGCCAACAGGGGCTGATGACCGCCACGTGGCGAGACAGCAAGCAGCCTGTCGCACTGGCGTCATCGCAGGCGCGACCTTCACACCTCAAGGCTTGTTTAACTAGGAGGTGGATGCTTGTAAATATTTACACGAGTAGTAGTCTCCCATTCGACAAAGTATTTGATTTAACAGCCTTAGTCATGCCCAGAAAAAAACAAAGACTCCGCCTCCTTCCCCCCTCCTCAAATGGATGACAGGAACACTTTAACCCCGAATCCACCAATTACAATCATTACGGGTTTCTACCCTGTCTCATTACAGAAACGTGACCGCCTTATTCAGATTTAGTGAAGAGGATTTGGAGAGTGATTTTTTAGGTACAAAGGAAAGAGATCTTGATTTTTCGGATCAACACCTCCCATTAGAGGTGCAAATTCCCACTACAGCCTTGAATTCACCAATCATAATGAGAACTAGTTTTCACCTTGAGATGCGCGCCACCCATTGGCTGCGCCGACTGGCCAATGGGCTGACAACACCTGCACAACGCCGGTCAGGTGGCAAACCTTTTCCCCACAGTGGAATCAGCGATATATCGGGGATAAGGTATCAAATATAAAAAACGGGTAAAAATACTCAGATCTGTCCTATGGCATGGAAAAACACTACGCAGCCCATGTATCTCATCCAGTTTCTTCTGCCTTTATCCATCTCTACGTTCAATTTATTGAGAAAACAGACGGTGATGGCAATACTTAAACGATTTACGAGCTACCAACTAGTTTGTTTTTAGTAACCGCCAAGACAACTAAAAAAATAGACTTTGCGCGTGATAAGTCCATCATTATAAGTTGTCAGTCCTATGGCATAGCGCTAGCACACCAGCCTGAAGGGTAGCGAATAGTCATGCAAGTGGAATACAGCGAGTGGTTTGCGACGATGCGCAAGACGATTCTGTAGTACTGACAAATCCAAATAACTCCATACCATTTTGCACCGGGTGGGACATTCTACTTTTTTCAAATAAGTAGCACCTCCAATATTGGTAGCGAACAACAGCACCGCGAGACCTTCAGGGGAGGGCGGAGAGGCTACTGGCAGAGCCCGATGGACATGCCGGCGAGCGAAAGTACAATAGCGGTGCCTTAAGTGAAAAGCATACCAAACTATCCAAGTATTACAGAACCCCTCTTTTCTTTCGGGCGGCAGTCCCGGCGCTCCCCTTGGTCAACCTGTCGCGTCGGACATCACAAGGCAGTCGGTGCTGTGAGGAAAACACCCACGAAGCAATCACACCATCCATGGAACTTGCGCAGAATTGAGAAAATATCTAGCTGTAACGTCACCAATCCACATTGGAAATTGCACTGGATCCAGAGTTTCATGCTGTTCGGAAACTCTATTGGGAAAAAGGAGAATGTGCTGGCCGTCTCAAATGACCATCGCTAGTCGTAAGAAGAGTGACCAAAAAGCGGAGTTACCTAATAAAGGACGGATGCAACATCATTTCATAAGAATAGTGATTTGCGCCAATTCCTCAATGTCGCTTCAGTGCTGCGCAAACATGCAGCTTGCAGAGAGGCGGAGGAGGCATCGTGCATTCACTCCATTGACACATTCAAACAGGCACCGCAGACAGCTTCGTAGCAAATTTTCCGAGATGGTTCACAGATTTTGTCGATTCGGGTGTTGAGAGCATTCCTGCGGAACAGGGGACTGAGGTAGTTGCCAGTGGGAGACGTCATTAGCAATCCTTCTGTTAAAAGATATCATCAATCCTCTTATCCTCAGCATATGCCATTCTTTCGTCACGTTAAGGTCTGGCATTCAGCGATAGAAAATCAGGACGGCTGTTCCTTATGACTGGGTTTGCTTGCAGCTGACACCAGTGTGGAGGTCCAAGCTCCTCAAGAGGGTCGAGAAGATACTGGCATGGCCCGCAGATTATGCCGGCAAGCAGAAGTACAGTAGCGGAAACTTAAGCACCCGCGTAAGCAAAACTCAAAGTTAAGCAACCTATCCTAGTTTTACAAAAAAAAAATAAACTACCAAAGTAAAAACCAGCTGCTGAAGATTTAATGTAAATGCATTTCTCACCCCCTACGTCAGCAACACCTAACAACACCACTTCCAAAGACAAGAACTTGACCAGAAACAAAAAGCAAATGCACAGATTAAAAAAATAAGAGAATCGGCGCACCCAAAGTAGGAAACGACCGCGATCACGTTAACAATAAAAGGTCCGACTTCAGAAAAGTACAGTAGCAGTACAAAACGGATACGCACAAGAGCCTCACGAGTTATGCACAATTCTCACATTCCATTCCGAAAATAACACAAAATTAAGACAAGGACTTTATTAGGCTTCATTTAACGAGGCCGTCCCAGCTCACTCCATTAACTGTCATTACGCGGTATAATGCGGCCAAATGAAAAGAGCAAGGCACTCCTGGCGAAAAAGAAGCCAAAGTCACGTTTACGTACTAATCTAATTAATTCAAAATGTCATATTCCAAATTTAACAAATTTGCGCATACCGTACCAAAAAATCGGAGAACATAAACAGACAATCACGAATTAGCCATATGCAACAATTCAAAAAGATAACTTGGATCATTATTTCAAGTAATCCTTGTATTAATAAAGTAGAGAATTAAGATGCCTGTTGCACTCCTTGTGCCTTCATAAAAGCCTTGGCCTTGGCCTCAAATACGCCCATAATAGTCCTATGTTCTTGTGTTTTCTGAGCCAAAACGGGAGCGATCTTTTCTATCTGCTTTTCAATAAATTCTATCCGTTTTGTAAAGTGCTTACTTGCTTCCTCTACCTTCTATAATCAACCAAAATAAATAAACAAATATCCTCATACCATTTCCACAAAATAGCCCGTTCCAATATCCACAAGTACACGAGTTGGATCGATAAGCCTTCCAGGGACACAGAGAGTAGAAGTCAGAGGAATCAGTGTATTTTTATCCTTGTTCTCCACATTGAAGTGTTTCAAACAATCCCTAGAGGAAGCAAATTGGCCCTGAAGCATCCTAAGCTGCTGTAGGGAAGCATTGATATATTGAAGCTTTTGCTCAAACTGCTTTGCTATTTCTTGGATTTGTGGTAGGGGTAATGTGGCAATGTCCACGGACTCCGTCTCTGACATCGCTAGAGCGGCAAGTAGCCCCGGTTAACCACGGATAACCTTGAAATGCCTTCGTGCTTACCTTGGTACCTTTCATAATGTATATTAATTTTGTTATAAGATCAAATCCAAACCACTCTCCTAAAAATGTTCAGATGGCAAGGACTTAATATTTATAAATTTTATTTTTTGACTGTTTTCTCAAAATGACCAAAATGTGTCATCTTAAACCATATGTTTAAATTTGGGTTAATGTTAGGATTGATACAGTTGCAGGAACCAAATGATGCAGAAGTGGCCCAAAAACACCACAATAAAAACTTTTATTATAATGATCTACAATATTGGTTTAGGTATTTATTGTTTTGAAGCGGACATCAATTCAATTTAAGTTCTACTGCGATTTTAAGGTCCACAAAATATCCACACTAATTTTGTGCCTTTTTTTAATAGCAGGGTTTAATCCCATTTTACTAGCCTATAATATGCAGTAATTTGTTGCTTTGCTTAACTCTGTATTGAATAAGCGGACACTTAAGTGTCCGCGGGTTCTTCCGATGCGAAAAGGCCTACTTTATACGCTAGCGACTTCTGTTTGTACGTAATATATCCCTCCTTACCTCTTTAATTTGTAAGGGCTTCGGAAAGGTCTTGAAACGCTGAAGAGAGGCACTGAGTTTGCGACTGCTACCATTGAATTGGTTTAATTTCTATCAAGCTACTTATTTAAATCCACAGTGGGTATATTTTGGTCGATCTGCATCAAAATGGTTTTAGCAGCGTACTGTAAAATCCATGCATTAGTAAAAGAATGTATGTACAACAAAGGAGCACTTCGCGTTTATTTGCGATTCTTTGTTAAAGAACTAACAAAATAGAAATGTCCTAAAACTGCGTGCGGGCAAATAATAAATCACTTTAAAACAACGCCCACTCGAATCTCCTCCATGCCTGGACGGTAAATCCTTAACACAATGGTATATACTCACTGGAAAGTTCACAATTACTAAAAGTCTCTTTTTTAAATAAAAGTTTTGCAATTTTGTGAATCGCACCAGGCCTAAATTCCCACCCCAACACGGCGGTTGTCAATGCGCATAGGTCGTAATTTGGGTTAAAATTGTGTGACAATTTCGTTGTTTGCGTCTCTCATCCACGGTTTTAAGATATTGGCTTGAGAAGATTGACTACTAGGGTGCTAGCTTACATGGTGTGGAGGGGAGAGAAAGTCTCCATGGTGTCACAATTTTACGGGAGTACCAGAGTTGGCCTTCAATCCTGGAAATTGGTGATGCCACTTAATCATAAGAGTGGTGTCATCTGACACCTTATCCTTAATAACTTGAACTTAGGCAAGTAGGCACCGCAATTTGAACGTTCCGAGTCTTCGACAAAGTCGTAACATATTAAAGTGGAATGCGGGGTCATACTACTTACTACCGCGTAGAGGAGTTCCAAGGCTACAGAGATTGAAGCGCCCGCGTGGTAAAACGTAAATGATGATTTATTTCAATGGTGTCAAGATGACAAGTGATTTGGCAGATCTTGTAGCAGATGGGACTGGTGGGGGCGACTTTCTTTTCGAGAGGGTAACAATAGCACGCAATTATGCCTACATCACGCCATCGAAGAGGAATATACTGTTTAAGCTGGATGAAAACTCATGACGTTCACCAAGCACTAAAGGCCTAATCCTTTCCTATTTACCGCCTTTTTTCAACCAAACCACTAAATCGTGACCTTTTGAGAGCAAATTAGCGGCAATTTCAGCAGTAAAATAGGGCGATAACACATTCTCATGGCGGGTGAGGGTTAAGCAACGGCCCCGATAATTGCGAACGGACTGATGTTGATGGTCGGATGAAAAATGTGACACCTTGAATTGAAGATAAAAGTGCTTATGAAACCGAAATCCACGCCACGTCCTCCGCTTAAAAGTCTTCAAATGAAACCTTAAAAGCAAATGCTGTCAGAGTTGTGAATGGCACCGCGTGGAGATTGACAAGTAAAATGCTAACCGTTAAGTGCGAAGACCATCTAGATGAGGAATACAATAAAGTCGCATCCACAGTGAATGCCTTCTACCACCTCAGGAAACTTCTAGAACCTCCTGGAGCCGCGGTCGGACGGCTTTGTAGTTGCGTTGAGTTGAGGAAGCAAGTGGCATTAAACGGAGTCACCACTGACTATGGGGAGTTGGAGTTTCGATGTTCGTGGAATCTGGACCTTACCGAGCTCCCAGCCGACACTTGCGAGCAAGCAGAGATGTGTACGAGTCTGCAGGCCATAGACTAAGCCCTCGGTTGGCTTAAACACATGTAACAATTACTGGTTGACCTTAAACTTAGGGGAGTAACCGGCCAATCAGAAGGGAGAGAGCAAGAGCACATTTTCAAGTGGAAGCTTCCAGAACGTCGATTCAGAACGGTCTCCCGGAGTGCGACCACCTCCGCCAGGACAAAATAAGGAGGACCTTCTGGATGACTTTAAAAAGCGATTGGACTTTTGATAATGGCTCGATTACATTGATCTGTGTCGGTCTATCAGCTTGAGAGTCTTTGCTTTGCTCTCTGTTGACGCCTTCTTTTAAGCTCTCACACATCATGCATCGAGTGCGCGCATCCACAGTTTCGAGGGTGTGGAAGCCAACTTCTTGGTCAATTTGTTGGTCTACACCTGTATTAACTGGGACAGGGGTGAACCTCGTCGGAGTCACTGAGATAAAAGTCGTTTTGCGCATCCTGTAATGACTCTCTAGAGTACTGGACAAGGGTGTCGGTGGAGATTCTCACATCCAAGCAAAAAAGAGCGGTCGAATACGTAGGGGGTTACCTCAGTCCCTCCCCCTTGGGCTCGACCTCTGTCGCCCTAGAGACCCCGAAAGCTCTTCTCATGCCACCTTATGCACTAGCATCCCAGGGATAACCCAGAGGCTATAATCGTTCTAGCAACAGCAATTGAACTCGTTACTATGGCAACACTGGTGAATAATTGCGAATTTAAATAAAAGTTATGCCTATCAAACGGGGCGGTGCATCCATTTGGCACAACAAATAATATCCAATCAATTAAAATGGTTACTGTGGCGACAAGTGCCGAACTGGTTTAAGGAAAGCTGGTCTTATCAGTTAAACAAATGACCAAGTTGTCGAAGAAGGCCCGAGATTAAAGTGGAGAGAAGATGGGACTGTTCGATTCTGGCAGACGACAGTAACCTTGGAATTCAACCAATCAGATACCGAGTCGGAACAGACAGACCTAACCCGCGACTATAATGGTGGGTGGCAACGATGTTGATGCATTAGCAAAGGGTCTAGCTTTGAGGACGTTCCACCACCGAGCCACTTGACCACATACCACATGGGGTAGGCCTGAGGTGGTGTTAGCGAAGCGGGATGACCAACAATTGCACGAGTCCCCCTTTTCCCCTGTGGTTCCACCTCCACGACGATACCACTCAACTCGGCTTCCACTTAGTCTTCCAGTCCTTCTCCGCACGAATCTAAATACCTCCACGTTCGTGCGTCATGCACAGTGGCCACAGATGCCAGTCGAGTGAAGAGATTTGCCACAGCAAAGATGTTTGACATTCCTGACTGCCCTATCAACAAGCGTAGGACCACAACACACCGGATGACTGAGGTTGACTCTTACCGACAACCCCTCGACACAATTGCCCAAAACACATTTCAAACAGCCAATGACATGACGTCTAGCTGGATGCACGTCAGTAACTGCAGTTGTTCAATGGAAGGCTCAATCGGGACCCGAACGTGGCCTAACCCAATTCCACCATCCGAGAAGTTCAGTTCCACCTGAACTGAGAGGACTCGACATTGAATAGCCAATGACGAATGACATTTCAGAGGTGATAATGACAGTTGAACCGTCCACCACGGGCTCAAGTAGACGCGGCAGGCAGACTTCCAGCTGGATGCGCGCCAGCAACTGCAATTGATCAGAGGAGGATGGAGGGTTGATGACCTGCCTACTAGACAGGCGTGCCCACCGGTTTTCACTTCCCGTAAACCATGATTTAGCAGTGCCACATAAACTCCAAATCACAGCCCTTCCCCGCGTCTGAAAGGTGGGCTTGACTAACCCGTCACGCGCTCTGCTTCAAACCGGAGGTGCGATGATGAACGCTGAGGGGGCCACCCGCGGTAATGACTGTCCCCCACGCGTTCTACACACGCCGCCACGGCCACCGGTCGGTCAGATGGCACAGTCAAGAGGAAGGGGAGTTCGTGATTGCAAAAATAAGATTTCTAAAACCCAAATTAGACTCACAGGCAGAGAGACAGGCAGGCAAGGTGAAGGGGAGAATGAGAAGTAGACACAAGGGGGAAGGAGGGGGGGGGGCGGGTAGAAAAGCACACTCGAGGGGGGGAGCAGGCGGGGAGAAGACGTCTGACAGGTAATGTGCGTATGGTTTAGATATGAAAAGACCGCGGATAAGATTGACGTGTCAGAAGTAGCCTCCTCAAAGTTTAGGGGGCCGCATCTGGCACTGCTGCGCCTTCTTTCGCTTCCGCCTTTGCTTCTTTCGCAAATTCCTCCTTCTCCTCCTCCTTGCTGTCATCATCGGTTGCTGAGTGGGGCAATCACCGTCCGCCTCTGGAGCAGGTGGCTTAAGAGGAGAACAAAAAGGGAGGTTTAACGCGTACGAAGGAGGGAGTACGTAGGGGGAGGAGGGAGGAAGGGGCGTTGAATGGAGGTGGCAAGACATTTCATGCCGCTACTAACTTCAAAAGAGGAGGATGAAGAACATACCCTCTCTGCTTAGCTGTTGAATGGGTGTTGCCAGTAGGGGAGTGGTGGGTGACTGGAATGGTAGTGTTGTTGTTGTTGTTGCTGTTGTTGGTGGTGCCGGCAGTGATAGGGGCAATGATAATAATAATGATGGTAGCGGTAGCAGCGCTAAAATCCAACGCAAAGTAAAAATCAACCAAATAAATAAAGATTAAACATTTAAATATGAAGATGGTAAATTTGGTTGATGATTGGAGTTAACGGTTTCTTTTTTTTCATGGGCAATTAAAATCCTTAAAAATGAACTGGCATCCATCTCCTGATCCCTCCATCTATCCGATCCAATGCGATGAGAGGATCTCCGTGAAATCCATTCTAATCGACAGTATTGAGAATGTCAAACACGTGAAGGGCTTGACCCGCAGCTCAAGGTCGTGGATAACAATGATGGTGAACTCTTGCTACCACAAGCCAAATTTAAACATACACAGATGGCTCCTCGAAACCTCATCACCCAGCCCCCCACCATCCCCTCCTTATTCATCAACCTTGCAACTAAAGCATGATGGAACTGATACACCCTTGAGAAGTGAAACTTTATCTGGGTTCAAAGAGGATGGAATTAAGAGCACTTGTAGCTGAGGGAGAGTGCAGACGCGTCCATCCGCCCCGAGTCCTCGGCAGAATCGCAAACAAAGTGAACCAATGAAGAAGGGAGGTTATAAGCGTGGAGAGGAGGTGAGCATCGACACATTGAAGAGGCAGCCGGTTTAAACGGAAGCTGAGCAGCAAATAGTGAAATCTCAGAAGTTAAGCATTCACTTCTAATCGAAGAAGAAATGACCTACGGGTGTAAAAGAGTCAGACACATATTCCATTTTCTCATCCACCTCTTTCGCAAGCCTTCTGCGTCGACTCTGAGAGTCCGCATCTTCACTGAGGGCAGATCCTATCAAGGAATGAACGAAGATGGGAAAGGGTAAGTGAAAGTGCGGGATTTCTTTCACAAATACGAAAAGAAAACTTGAACCGAGTAATGGGAAGCCTGTAGAGCCTAAGTGGGTCTTTTGCGTGTAAAAATGTCAAAATACTTTGACAAATCTCGCTCTCTCTTGGCTGATGGCTGCGGAATACAGATGGTGCAGGGATATGTGACCGCCTCCCTACATCCCGGGCCCGCTGTGCAATTTCACAGCGCATTCCTTTGACTGACTGATGACACTATTGTTAACTTGACTCGCCGTCTGAAACGGTGGACGAATAACGAAGAGCCAGTAA